ACTTTAGAACTGAAAAAAAAACATTACTTCTAAAAAAGTAAATTAGTTTTAAATCTATAGACGATTCATTTTTTCACCCCCCCCCCCCCCCATTCTAGATGATGATGATGATATAAAAAAAGTCCCGCGTTGCTCCCCTATGGCTACCCAACAGCAGAAAGGAAGAGCGTTCCAGACGGCCACAGCAGCAGCAGCATCTGAAAGCTCCACGCCATGACGACGATGATGATGCGGGCGACCGGCGTCTTCGTAAAAGTGGGCTGGGTAGGCGGGTGGGTTAGTGAGTGGTTGAGCGAGCGATTTTGTGGTTGAGCTAGTGGGTAGGTGGGTGGGTTAGTGAGTGGTTGAGCGAGCGATTTTGTGGTTGAGCTAGTGGGTAGGTGGGTGGATTAGTGAGTGGTTGAGCGAGCGATTTTGTGGTTGAGCTAGTGGGTAGGCGGGTGGGTTAGTGAGCGGTTGAGCGAGCGATTGGGTGGTTGAGCGAGTGGGTAGGCGAGTGGGCGAGTGGGTAGGCGGGTGGGTTAGTGAGTGGTTGAGCGAGCGATTGGGTAGTTGAGCGAGTGAACGATTTGGTGGTTGAGCGAGTGGGTAAGCGGGTGGGTTAGTGAGTGGTTGAGCGAGTGATTGGGTAGTTGAGCGAGTGAACGATTTGGTGGTTGAGCGAGTGGGTAGGCGGGTGGGTTAGTGAGTGGTTGAGCGAGCGATTGGGTAGTTGAGCGAGTGAACGATTTGGTGGTTGAGCGAGTGGGTAAGCGGGTGGGTTTTGGTTGAGCGAGTGATTGGGTAGTTGAGCGAGTGAACGATTTGGTGGTTGAGCGAGTGGGTAGGCGGGTGGGTTAGTGAGTGGTTGAGCGAGCGATTGGGTGGTTGAGCGAGTGAACGATTTGTTGGTTGAGCGAGTTTGGTAGGCGGGTGGGTTAGTGAGTGGTTGAGCGAGTGAACGATTTGGTGGTTGAGCGAGCGGGTTGGTTGAGTGGGCGAGTGATTGAGCGAGTGAACTATTTGGTGGTTGAGCGAGTGGGTAGGCGAGTGGGTGAGTGGTTGAGCGAGCGATTGGGTGGTTGAGCGAGTGGGCGAGTGGTTGCGGTTGAGCAAGTGAACGATTTGGTGGTTGAGCGAGTGGGAGTAGTCGAGTGGATTCAATTGCTCACCCACTCGGTAACGTGTGTACACACACGTTGACACACACACACGTTCACACACACACACACACACGTTCACACACACACACGTTCACACACACACACACGTTCACACACACACCTTCACACACACACCTTCACACACACACACCTTCACACACACGTTCACACACACGTTCACACACACGTTCACACACACACACGTTCACACACACACACGTTCACACACACACACGTTCACACAACAACCGCCATTCACCACTAAGTGGCGGTGACGTCACCACGACGCTTGTGCCAGGCTATGTGCACCCTGAGGCCACGTGAAGTGTCGAACGCCCGCTGGCAGGAGGTCACGGGGCAGACCCAGGTGCCACGGGTCGACTGACTGAGATGACTGGCTGATGCACCACCTGTGCCCCCTACTGTGCCAACCTGCTGTGCTTTAGCCACCCGGCGCTCCGCTCGCTGTTGTGAGCGTCGCTCCTCCGCCCTCCGTTGTTGTTGGAGGGCGACTGCCTCCAACTGCCCAGTAGCATCCTTCACGAGCCTCCTCCACAGAGGCCGATCTTGACACCGCTGGTACCAGTCATCGGCAAGTCCACTCAGCTCCACGTCCTCCTGTACCACATCACTCCATCTCTTCTCTAGCCCGTGCCGCGCCCGCTTAGCCCCCTCAATCCGGCCAAACAAAAGCTGTTTCGGCATGCGGTGGCTGGGCATGCGGGCTACATGACCCAGCCATCGCAGCCTTGCCTGCCGGAGGAGCTCACCGATGGGACCCTGCCCAGATCTTTCAAGGATTTGTGAGCTCCTCACACAATCCAGTCTGGTTAAACCCAGGATGGATCGTAGGCAGGTCAGCCTAAATGTTTCTAACCGGCACACACACCTTCACACACACACACCTTCACACACACACACCTTCACACACACACACGTTCACACACACGTTCACACACACACACGTTCACACACACACACCTTCACACACACACCTTCACACACACACCTTCACACACACCTTCACACACACACACCTTCACACACACACACACCTTCACACACACACACGTTCACACACACGTACGTTCACACACACGTTCACACACACGTTCACACACAGACGTTCACACACACACGTTCACACACACACACACACGTTCACACACACACGTTCACACACACACACACGTTCACACACACACGCGCGCGTGAAAGGAACGCGACAGACAAACATTGTAAACTTGTAAAGGTGTAATTTATAGCCGGTCCATTAAACACCCGGCTACACCCAGATAAGGGACGAACCCAACACGGCCACCGCCACACCCACCGCCACGCCAACCTTGGCACGAACAGCAATACCAAGGCGGTCATCAACAAAACACCCACGGGCAATTGTTGCAAAAAGTCGTCGCCTTTACCACCTAGTCAGTTGGCAGTGCCACGGGGGTACGGGGCGCGTCCATAAATGACGTCACGCGATTTTTGACTATTTTTTTAACCCCACCCCCCTTTCCCCCAACATCGTCACAAAAAGTCAGACCACCACTCCCCCCACCCACCCACCCACCACCCTCAAATATGACGTCACAAAGCTCTGCCCCCCACCCCCCACAACAAATAAAAACACGCTTCAAAATGGCTTTAAACTATTGTCATTGTAAAGTTGCGCATTTTAATGTGGCGCCCCGCTATGATGTTGTAGGAGAAAAACATTTATGGGAAAGTCTTTTTAATTAAGTAGAAACGCGTTGCCCGTATTTATTTATAAAGTTGCGCATTTTGATGTGACGTCACATTTCTCCACCCACGGGGTAGAAGGGAGCGAGATGGAACAGATGGAGATTAGTCCACGCACGTGGTAGAAGGGAGCGAGATGGAACAGGTGGAGATTAGTCCACTCACAGCTAGAAGGGAGCGAGATGGAACAGATGGAGATTAGTCCACGCACGTGGTAGATGGAACAGATGGAGATTAGTCCACACACACAGCTAGAAGGGAGCGAGATGGAACAGATGGAGATTAGTCCACTCACAGCGAGAAGGGAGTGAGATGGAACAGATGGAGATTAGTCCACACACGGGGTAGAAGGGAGTGAGATGGAACAGATGGAGATTAGTCCACCCACGGGGTAGAAGGGAGCGAGATGGAACAGATGGAGATTAGTCCACACACTGTGTAGAAGGGAGCGAGATGGAACAGATGGAGATTAGTCCACACACTGTGTAGAAGGGAGCGAGATGGAACAGATGGAGATTAGTCCACTCACAGCCAGAAGGGAGCGAGATGGAACATATGGAGATTAGTCCACACACGGGGTAGAAGGGAGTGAGATGGAACAAATGGAGATTAGTTCACACACAGTGCAGAAGGGAGTGAGATGTAACAGATGGAGATTAGTCCACACACGGTGTAGAAGGGAGTGAGATGGAACAGATGGAGATTAGTCCACTCACAGCTAGAAGGGAGCGAGATGGAACAGATGGAGATTAGTCCACTCACAGCTAGAAGGGAGCGAGATGGAACAGATGGAGATTAGTCCACACACTGTGTAGAAGGGAGCGAGATGGAACAGATGGAGATTAGTCCACACACAGGGTAGAAGGGGAGCGAGATGGAACAGATGGAGATTAGTCCACTCACAGCGAGAAGGGAGTGAGATGGAACAGATGGAGATTAGTCCACCCACGGGGTAGAAGGGAGTGAGATGGAACAGATGGAGATTAGTCCACACACTGTGTAGAAGGGAGCGAGATGGAACAGATGAAGATTAGTCCACTCACAGCGAGAAGGGAGCGAGATGGAACAGATGGAGATTAGTCCACACACGGTGTAGAAGGGAGCGAGATGGAATAGATGGAGATTAGTCCACTCACAGCTAGAAGGGAGCGAGATGGAACAGATGGAGATTAGTCCACACACGGTGTAGAAGGGAGTGAGATGGAACAGATGGAGATTAGTCCACACACTGTGTAGAAGGGAGCGAGATGTAACAGATGGAGATTAGTCCACACACGGGGTAGAAGGCAGTGAGATGTAACAGATGGAGATTAGTCCACACACTGTGTAGAAGGGAGTGAGATGGAACAGATGGAGATTAGTCCACACATGGTGTAGAAGGGAGTGAGATGGAACAGATGGAGATTAGTCCACACACGGGGTAGAAAGGGAGCGAGATGGAACAGATGGTGATTAGTCCACCCACGGGGTAGAATGGAGCGAGATGGAACAGATGGAGATTAGTCTACACACTGTGTAGAAGGCAGTGAGATGTAACAGATGGAGATTAGTCCACACACAGGGTAGAAGGGGAGTGAGATGGAACAGATGGAGATCAGTCCACACACTGTGTAGAAGGCAGTGAGATGTAACAGATGGTGATTAGTCCACCCACGGGGTAGAATGGAGCGAGATGGAACAGATGGAGATTAGTCCACTCACCGTGTAGAAGGCAGTGAGATGTAACAGATGGAGATTAGTCCACACACGGTGTAGAAGGGAGCGAGATGGAACAGATGGAGATTAGTCCACACACGGTGTAGAAGGGAGCGAGATGGAACAGATGGAGATTAGTCCACTCACAGCCAGAAGGGAGCGAGATGGAACAGATGGAGATTAGTCCACACACGGGGTAGAAAGGGAGTGAGATGAAACAGATGGAGATTAGTCCACACACTGTGTAGAAAGGGAGCGAGATGGAACAGATGGAGATTAGTCCACACACGGTGTAGAAGGGGAGCGAGATGGAACAGATGGAGATTAGTCCACACACGGTGTTAGCAGGGCAGTGAGATGGAACAGATGGAGATTAGTCCACTCACTGTGTAGAAAGGGAGCGAGATGGAACAGATGGAGATTAGTCCACTCACTGTGTAGAAAGGGAGTGAGATGGAACAGATGGAGATTAGCCCACTCACTGTGTAGAAAGGGAGCGAGATGGAACAGATGGAGATTAGTCCACTTTGCTGCTGTGCCACTCACCGATGGGTGAGAGAGAGGGGGGCGGGGTTCTGGCTGGGTCTGTCCCGTGACATCATCCTCCTCCTCGTGCACCTAGCCTGGCGCGAGCGCCGTGGACACATCACCTCCGCCCTGCGGCGAATGGCGGCCGCCGTGGTTGTTGTTGTTGTTGTTGTGGTTGTTGCGGCGTCAGTATTGGCCGGGCCGGCGGCGTCGTCGTCGTTCCGTGCCGCCCCCTCCGTCAGGCCCTCACCACGGCCTTGCCCACGTTGTCTCCGCGCAGGAGGCCCATGAAGGCGTCGGGCATGGCGGAGAAACCCTCGGTGACGGTCTCGCGGTACTGCAGCTTGCCCTGTCACAGGCGAGGGTACAGGCGAGGGTACAGGTGAGTGGGGGCACAGGTGAGGGTACAGGTGAGTGGGTGTACAGGCGAGTGTACAGGTGAGTGGGTGTACAGGTGAGTGGGTGTACAGGTGAGTGGGGGCACAGGTGAGGGTACAGGTGAGTGTACAGGTGAGTGGGTGTACAGGTGAGTGGGTGTACAGGTGAGTGGGTGTACAGGTGAGTGTACAGGCGAGTGTACAGGTGAGTGGGTGTACAGGTGAGGGTACAGGTGAGTGGGTGTACAGGTGAGTGGGTGTACAGGTGAGGGTACAGGTGAGTGGGTGTACAGGTGAGTGGGGGCACAGGTGAGTGGGGGCACAGGTGAGTGGGTGTACAGGTGAGCAAGTGTACAGGTGAGTGTACAGGCGAGTGTACAGGTGAGTGGGTGTACAGGTGAGTGGGTGTACAGGCGAGGGTACAGGTGAGTGGGTGTACAGGCGAGGGTACAGGTGAGTGGGTGTACAGGCGAGTGTACAGGTGAGTGGGTGTACAGGTGAGTGGGTATACAGGCGAGGGTACAGGTGAGTGGGTGTACAGGTGAGCAAGTGTACAGGTGTGTGTACAGGCGAGTGTACATGTGAGTGGGTGTACAGGTGAGCAAGTGAGTGTACAGGTGAGGAAGTGTACAGGTGAGCAAGCGAGTGTACAGGTGAGCAAGCGTACAGGTGAGTGGGGGCACAGGTGAGTGTGTTTACAGGTGAGTGTACAGGCGAGTGTACAGGTGAGTGGGTGTACAGGTGAGTGGGGGCACAGGTGAACAAGTGTGTGTACAGGTGAGCGAGTGAGTGTACAGGTGAGCAAGTGTGAGTACAGGTGAGTGGGTGTACAGGTGAGTGTGTGTACAGGTGAACAAGTGTGTGTACAGGTGAGTGGGTGTACAGGTGAGTGTGTGTACAGGTGAACAAATGTGTGTACAGGTAAGTGTGTGTACAGGTAAGTGTGTGTACAGGTGAGTGGGTGTATAGGTGAGCAAGCGAGTGTACAGGTGAGTGGGTGTACAGGTGAGCAAGTGAGTGTACAGGTGAGTGGGTGTACAGGTGAGCAAGTGTGTGTACAGGTGAGCAAGTGTGTGTACAGGTGAGTGGGGGCACAGGTGAGCAAGTGTGTACAGGTGAGCAAGTGTACAGGTGAGCGTGTGTACAGGTGAGCAAGCGAGTGTACAGGTGAGTGTGTGTACAGGTGAGCAAGCGAGTGTACAGGTGAGTGTACAGGTGAGTAAGCGAGTGTGTGTACAGGTGAGTGTACAGGCGAGTAAGCGAGTGAGTGGAGGCACAGGTGAGCGAGTGCGTGTACAGGCGAGCGAGCGGGTGTACAGGCGAGCGAGCGGGTGTACAGGCGAGTGGGGGCACAGGTGAGCAAGTGTGTGTACAGGTGAGCGAGTGTGTGTACAGGCGAGCGAGCGAGCGTGTGTACAGGCGAGTAAATGTGCGTACAGGTGAGCGTGTGTACAGGTGAGCAAGAGAGTGTACAGGCGAGTGTCTCAATCTATTAGATATCCGTGTAGATCCCTGGGCCTCCGTGCTAGTCTACTGCTCTCTCTGCACGCTGCCCGGAGAGAGAGAGAAAAATGGGATACTTTTTTTTCTGTGGACAGTATCAGAGCGTGGGAAATATAATAAATAGGGGTTTTACCACCTTACTGGCAGTCAAAAAAAGGAGTTGGGTTAGGAGTTCCAAACCTTTTTCTAGGAACCAAGTTACTGCGTTGAACATGCAACAAAGATCCCCCGTGTAGCCTCAACAGACTGTAGGGGCAAGTGCTGTTAGCGAGCAGGACCTGTGAAGGCCGGAACGGTACACGAGAGGGTGGGTGGCCAGCACCACGCCCGACCGCCTTTGTCTCCCCAGCGGCGATGTTTACACACCGCACCAGGTACTCATTTGAGGCTGCGTCGACCATGAAAACGCACACACACACACACGCGGCTCTGCTGATTTACGGCATTTGTATCACCAGTTTCAGTCGACCAGTATGATGATATATTGTTGCCTATGTATGCATTGTCAATAATGTAATTAGCTTAAAGCTTTCGTGACTGCAGCGATTCATATTCTTGGTTATTTCGGTAAAGTCACCACGTAGAAGGGAGACAATAAAATATATATAAAACAATAAAATTCTCACGACGTTTCGACTGCAGCACAAGCAGCAATCATCATCAGGTGTGAAAACCAACGGCAAGAAACATTTTAAAGGAGCGGCGGTTTGTATTTATTTATTTTTAAACGGTGTTTATATTTATTTATTAAAACGTCAGCGCCACGGAGAGCGATTTGACAATTTGTTTAGATGGACGAGTCCATCTATGTTCGGAAAAGAGGAGGGGGGGAGACGAAAAATAATAAAATTCTCACGACGTTTCGACTGCAACACAAGCAGCCATTTGAAAGAAGTGGTGGTTTGTATTTATTTTGTATTTATTTCTTTATTTTTAAAAACGGTGTTTGTATTTTTCTCTTCTTTGGTTCTTTCGGTAAAGTCACGTAGAATGAGAATAAAATAATAAATTGATAAAATAAAATAACACAATAATATTCTCACGACGTTTTTAACGTTAGCACCACGGACAGCGATTTGACAGTTTGTTTAGATGGACGAGTCCATCTATGTTCGGACAGCATATATTAATTTCTCGTCTCCCCCCTTCCTCTTTTCCGAACGTAGATGGACTCGTCCATCTAAACAAACTGTCAAATCGCTCTCCGTGGTGCTGACGTTTTAAAAAATAAATAAATACAAACCGCCGTTTTAAAAATAAATAAATACAAACCGCCGTTTTAAAAATAAATAAATACAAACCGCCACTTCTTTCAAATGTTTCTTGCCGTTGGTTTTTCACACCTGATGATGGCTGCTTGTGCTGCAGTCGAAACGTCGTGAGAATTTTATTATTTTTCGTCTCCCCCCTCCTCTTTTCCGAACATAGATGGACTCGTCCATCTAAACAAAATGTCAAATCGCTCTCCGTGGTGCTGACGTTTAAAAAATAAAATAAATGCAAACCGCCGTTTTAAAAATAAATAAATACAAACCGCCACTTCTTTCAAATGTTTCTTGCCGTTGGTTTTTCACACCTGATGATGGCTGCTTGTGCTGCAGTCGAAACGTCGTGAGAATTTTATTATTTTTCGTCTCCCCCCCTCCTCTTTTCCGAACATAGATGGACTCGTCCATCTAAACAAACTGTCAAATCGCTCTCCGTGGTGCTGACGTTTTAAAAAATAAATAAATACAAACCGCCACTTCTTTCAAATGTTTCTTCCCGTTGGTTTTTCACACCTGATGATGGCTGCTTGTGTTGCAGTCGAAACGTCGTGAGAATTTTGTTTTATTATTACTTTATTGTTTCCCTTCTACGTGGTGGTGACTTTACCGAGAGAACCAAGAATAATAATTTTATTGTTTTATATTTATTTTATTGTTTCCCTTCTACGTGGTGGTGACTTTACCGAGAGAACCAAGAATAATAATTTTATTGTTTTATATTTATTTTATTGTTTCCCTTCTACGTGGTGGTGACTTTACCGAGAGAACCGAGAATACGAATCACTGCAGTCACGAGAAAGCTTTAAGTCAAATAGAATGGACTCGTCCATCTAAACAAACTGTCAAATCGCTCTCCGTGGTGCTGACGTTTTAAAAAATAAATAAATATAAAACACCGTTTTAAAAATAAACAAATACAAACCGCCACTTCTTTCAAATGTTTCTTGCCGTTGGGTTTCACACCTGATGATGGCTGCTTGTGCTGCAGTCGAAACGTCGTGAGAATTTTATTATTTTTCGTCTCCCCCCCTCCTCTTTTCCGAACGTAGATGGACTCGTCCATCTAAACAAACTGTCAAATCGCTCTCCGTGGTGCTGACGTTTAAAAAATAAATAAATACATACAAACACCGTTTTAAAAATAAATAAATACAAACCGCCACTTCTTTCAAATGTTTCTTGCCGTTGGTTTTTCACACCTGATGATGGCTGCTTGTGCTGCAGTCGAAACGTCGTGAGAATCCTATTGTGTCTACGTACATTTTCATTATTTTATCATTTTCCCTTCAACGTGGCGACTTTACCGAAAAGAACCAAGAGAATTTCATGTCATCGGTGTCATCCGAATCGTCTGGCGGGAAACCCCCTTGGGTTCCCGCCCAACAAAAAAAAAATCACGTCAATAATAATAATAATTATAATCATATATTTTTATATTTTTCAGTCCGCCCCACCACGTGATCCACCGACGGCGACGCGCCGCCCGCACCAGACCTGGCACCGGCACCGCCGCCCTCCGGGTCAGCCGTCGGTCCTCGGCCTCTTTGCCTAGGCGAGCCCCCCGCGAGCCCCCCGCGAGCCCCCCGCGAGCCCCCCGCGAGCCCCCCGCCGCAGCGAATTTAACGCGCCCGTGTAATAAACTTCGTACGAAACTTGAGTGTCACCCGAGTAGCTCTCGACGAGGTTTTTTTTTTTAAAATCGACCGAGGCTGGTTATTGTTGCCGGCAAGGCGACGGGGTTTGTGTCGCTACGCCTGTTGTTCCCACACCGGGGCAGCGATGGGGGGCGGACTTAGTGTGTGTGTGTGTTTGTATTTCACATCGGTTTATTGTACGATGGCTGGGGTAGTTGCAGCCCTTTAGCGTCCATATACTAAATGCCTCTGGCCACGGAAGTAGCTGTGTTAAAGTCAAAGTTTACATATCAACAGAGGCATTTAGTATATGGATGCTAAAGGACTGCAACTGCCCAACCATCATACAATAAAGCGATGTGAAAAACCTAAGTATAAACTACATCAATATAATAAATGTACTCAATATATTCTTCAATAAGTTGAGCTATTAACATAAAGTAACTGGGTATACACTACACTACATAATGAATACCATATAGCAAACTAATAAAAAACTAAAATATAAACGACATCAATGTTATCAATGAACTCTATATACTCTCCAATCAGCTGAGCGCTTCAATGAACGCTGCTAAGATTCGCAGCGTCTTTAAGGCTTGGTGGGAGAGGCAAAGTGCCTTGACAAAGGAGTTCACATATCAAACAGGAGAATTTAACATTGAAGTAGCTGTGTTAAAGCGTTGGATCACCAGCAGGGTGCTAAAGTCAGAAATTAGCATGTAACTGGGAGATTAGCATGATGTTAATTCGAGGGATTAGCATGTGACTGGTCACGGAAATAGCTGTGTTAAAGTCAAAGTTTACATATCAACAGAGGCATTTAGTATATGGACGCTAAAGGACTGCAACTACCCGAATATCATACAATAAACCGATGTGAAACTTATATTGATGTATAAACTACATCAATATAATAAATGTACTCAATAAATTCTTCAATAAGTTGAGCTATTAACATAAAGTAACTGGGTATACACTACACTATATAATGAATACCATATAGTAAACTAATAAAAAACTAAAATATAAACGACATGAATGTTATCAATGAACTCTATATACTCTCCAATCAGCTGAGCGCTTCAATGAACGCTGCTAAGATTCGCAGCGTCTTTAAGGCTAGGTGGGAGAGGCAAAGTGCCTTGACAAAGGAGTTCACATATCAAACAGGAGAATTTAGCATTGAAGTAGCTGTGTTAAAGTGTTGGATCACCAGCAGGGTGCTAAAGTCAGAAATTAGCATGTAACTGGGAGATTAGCATGATGTTAATGTGAGGGATTAGCATGTGACTGGTCACGGAAGTAGCTGTGTTAAAGTCAAAGTTTACATATCAACAGAGGCATTTAGTATATGGACGCTAAAGGACTGCAACTACCCGAATATCATACAATAAACCGATATGAAACTTATATTGATGTATAAACTACATCAATATAATAAATGTACTCAATAAATTCTTCAATAAGTTGAGCTATTAACATAAAGTAACTGGGTATACACTACACTATATAATGAATACCATATAGTAAACTAATAAAAAACTAAAATATAAACGACATGAATGTTATCAATGAACTCTATATACTCTCCAATCAGCTGAGCGCTTCAATGAACGCTGCTAAGATTCGCAGCATCTTTAAGGCTAGGTGGGAGAGGCAAAGTGCCTTGACAAAGGAGTTCACATATCAAACAGGAGAATTTAGCATTGAAGTAGCTGTGTTAAAGTGTTGGATCACCAGCAGGGTGCTAAAGTCAGAAATTAGCATGTAACTTGGAGATTAGCATGATGTTAATTAGAGGGATTAGCATGTGACTGGTCACGGAAATAACTATGTTAAAGTCAAAGTTCACATATCAAGATTATATTTTAACCCTTTCTTGTCCAAATCAATTCGGTGTTAGGCCAATCAGCCTTAAAGACAATGCATCGTCACATATTGTCAGAGCATGTTTCGTTTGCATGTTCACAAGTGCCGCACGCGGGGGAAATTCATTCAATGGCAAAAGTTTTGTATCCGTTTGATGCGTCAACGTCTTAACACAAATTCCTGCCGTTTTATTGCTAGAAAAGGGCTGAAATATATTCTTATGTTTTCGTGCCCCGATGGAGTTTGTATTATTTCTCACGTGTGCACCACCACCACCATCCACCACCACCATCCACCACCACCACTGCGTACGAGGCTTGATCCAGGGTTCGTAGACCAAGAAGCTTCAGGGCGGAATACGGAAGCCATTTTAACTTCTGTTGCACTCTGGCGCCATCTGTGGGTCAGTGTCGAGTCCGTGGGGCAGTGTCGAGTCTGACTCTGTGGGTCAGTGTAGAGTCCGTGGGTCAGTGCCAAGTCCGTGGGGCAGTGTCGAGTCCGTGGGGCAGTGTCGAGTCTGACTCTGTGGGTCAGTGTCCAGTCTGACTCTGTGGGTCAGTGTCAAGTCTGACTCTGTGGGTCAGTGTAGAGTCCGTGGGTCAGTGCCAAGTCCGTGGGGCAGTGTCGAGTCCGTGGGGAAGTGTCAAGTCTGACTCTGTGGGGCAGTGTCAAGTCCGTGGGCAGTGTCGAGTCTGTGGGTCAGTGTCAAGTCTGACTCTGTGGGTCAGTGTCAAGTCCGTGGGTCAGTGTCGATTCTGACTCTGTGGGTCAGTGTCAAGTCTGACTCTGTGGGTCAGTGTCAAGTCCGTGGGTCAGTGTCGATTCTGACTCTGTGGGTCAGTGTCGAGTCCATTGGGCTTGCCCCAGCAGTCTGTTCAAGGCTACACCGGGCACCTTTGTCTTTGTTAACTACCTCGCCTGGTCGTGGGTTCAATCCCAGACCCTGACGATGCCTGCTGCTGTACATCTGTAGTCTGCGTCTCTGTCTCTCACCATCATCATCATCATCACGGTGGCTGGGAGATGTTAACTACCTCGCCCGGTATGCAGGAGGCCGTGGGTCCAATCCCAGACCCTGACGATGCCTGCTGCTGTATATTTGGAGCCTGCGTCTCTGTCTCTCACCATCATCATCATCACGGTGGCTGGGAGATGTTAACCACCTCGCCCGATATGCAGAAGGCCGTGGGTTCGATCCAGACCCTGACGATGCCTGCTGCTGCTGTATATTTGGAGTCTGCGTCTCTGTCTCTCATCATCATCATCACGGTGGCTGGGAGATGTTAACTACCTCGCCCGGTATGCAGGAGGCCGTGGGTTCAATCCCAGACCCTGACGCATGCTGCTGCTGCTGTATATTTGGAGTCTGCGTCTCTCTCTCCGTGGTAGTCACCTCGTGGATCATTTTTCTTTCGTTTCGTGTGGATCACTGGCAGGGTGGGGGTGGGGGGGTGGGGGGGTGGGGGTGGGGGTCTCTCACCTCCTTCACCCAGGCGGCGAGCGCCGCGATGCCCTCGTCACGCCGGTGCTGCCACCTCGTCACCATGAAGCCCTCCACCTTCAGCTCCTTGAAGATGAGCGTCAGCTGCGGGAAGGTCACTGGGGCCGAAAAGGGCGACACAGAAGGCCGGGCCTCCACCGTGTGATCGCAGTCGCCCCTTGCCCCGGGGGGCACGGGGGGCACGCGGGGGGGGGGGTGTCGCCTTCGCAAAATGGGCGCGCGTGTAAGTGGTGACGTCACCGCCACTTAGTGGCGAATGGCGGTGGTCGTTGTTGTCATTGTCGTTGTTGTTGTCGTTGTTGTTGTTGCTGCAAGTGTACGAGCGGCAGCGTAGCGGTTAGCGCTACGAACCCGGCGACCGGAGTTCGATTCCCACCTCGTGCCCACCGGTGGCGACTATCCGCACCGGTCCTGGGCCTCCTCTAGGTCGACTCGGCCTCGAGGCGGGTACCTGGCGCGGTGTGTGTGTGTGTAGTAATCAATCGCCGCTGGGGAGACAAAGGCGACCGGGCGCGGTGCTTGCTGGCCACCCACCACCCTTCGTGTACCACAGCGCCGGCCTTCACGGGTGCTGCTCGCTAACAGCGCTTGCCCCAACAGCCTGCTGAGGCTACACGGGGAGACGCTCACAACAACGAGCGGAGCGCCGGGTGGCTAAAGCACAGCGGGTTGGCGCAGTAGGGGGGGGCGCACAGCTGGTGCATCGGCCACTCGTCTCAGTCAGTCGACCCGTGGCACCTGCTGGGTCTGCCCCGTGACCTCCTGCCAGCGGGCGTTCGACGCTCAAACGCGACAGCCTCAACAGCGCACCTAGCCTGGCACAAGCGTCGTGGTGACGTCGCCGGCACTTAAGAGGCGAATCGCGCGACGTTGTTGTTGGTGTTGTTGTTGTGTGTACGTACACTCGTTAGCGAGTGGGTGAATGAGTGGTTTTAGAACTTGAATCCACCCGCCTACCCCACCCTCGCTCAACCACCCCCAATCGTTCGCTCAAATTACTCAAGGGGTGGGGGTTGGTGGTGTGTGGCAAGCGCCACGCCCACCTGCCCGACCGCCTTTGTCTCCCCCTTACAAAAAGGGGACAGAGATTCCCCCGTATAGCCTTAGAAGGAATTGGTCGGGGCAAGTGCCGGCAAAACTGTGGCACACGAGGTGGTGAGGGTGGCGAGGCCGACACCACGCCAGCCCGACCGCCTTTGTCTCCCCTAGGTGGCGATGTTTACTACACACCACCGCTACACCGGGGACTCATTGGAGGCCGAGTCGACCGATTGGTCCACACGAGGGACCGCCCCGCGCCCGGTCACAGCGGTACCGATTTCCGATTGGTCCACACGAGGGACCGCCCCGCGCCCGGCCACAGCGGTACCGTTTTCCGATTGGTCCACACGAGTGACCGCCCCGCGCCCGGTCACAGCGGTACCGATTTCCGATTGGTCCACGCGAGGGACCGCCCCGCGCCCGGTCACAGCGGTACCGATTTCCGATTGGTCCACGCGAGGGACCGCCCCGCGCCCGGCCACAGCGGTACCCTATTCCGATTGGTCCACGCGAGGGACCGTCCCCGAAACCCGGTGGAACCGACAGGTTGGCGCCGATTTCCGATTGGCCGGGGGCGGCCGTGCACTCACGCTTCTGCGACGTGACGTCGTTGTACATGGAGATCCCTCCGCAGACGGAGACGCGGCCTCTGTGCTTCATGTGGGGCAGCGCCGCGCAGAGGAAATCCCCTCCAACCTTGGACCACAACAGCAGCAGCAGCAGCAGCAGCCACAGCAGCAGCAGCAGCAGCAGCCACAACAACAGTTCGTCAGCAACAGTCGTCAGCAAAACACAGCCTCGGCCACGACCTTGACGACGGACGGCCTTCAAAATAACAAAAAGATGACGACGAAAAAACGATAAATAATAACGACAACGCCGCGGCTGGAGACGGCGTCAGCATCAACAGCGGAGATGTAGGGAGACACGGGGGGGGGGAGATGAACGGGGGGAGATGCACAGAGACACGGGGGGAGATGTAGAGAGACACGGTGGGGAGATGTACGGAGACACGGGGGGAGATGAACGGAGACACGGGGGGAGATGTAGGGAGACACGGGGGGGAGATGTACGGAGACACGGGGGGGAGATGTACGGAGACACGGGGGGGATGCACGGAGACACGGGGGGGAGATGTAGGGAGACACGGGGGGGAGATGTACGGAGACACGGGGGGGATATGTAGGGAGACACGGGGGGAGACGCACGGAGACACGGGGGGGAGATGTACGGAGACACGGGGGGAGATGTACGGAGACACGGGGGGGAGACACCAGGAGACACGGGGGGAGATGTACAGAGACACGGGGGGAGATGTAGGGAGACACGGGGGGGGGAGATGCACGGAGACACGGGGGGAGATGTAGAGAGACACGGGGGGAGATGTACGGAGACACGGGGGGAGATGAACGGAGACATGGGGGGAGATGCACTGTGGGAGATGTGGAGACACGGAGAGTCACTGTGGGAGATGTGGAGACACGGAGAGTCACTGTGGGAGATGTGGAGACACGGAGAGTCACTGTGGGAGATGTGGAGACACGGAGAGTCACTGTGGGAGACACGCAGAGAGAGACACACACACAGAGACACACACAGAGAGACACACACACAGAGAGAGACACACACAGAGAGAGAGACACACACAGAGAGACACAGAGAGAGAGAGAGACACACACAGAGAGAGAGACACACAGAGAGAGACAGACACACACAGAGAGAGAGAGACACACAGAGAGAGACACACACACAGAGAGAGACACACACACAGAGAGACACAAAGATAAAAGATCCCCCATATAGCCTTAACAGACTGTAGGGGCAAGTGCTGTTAGCGAGCACCTATGAAGGCCGGAACGGTACACGAAGGGGTGGGTGGCGAACACCACGCCCGACCGCCTTTGTCTCCCTAGTGACAATGTTTACACACCACACCAGGTACTCATTTGAGGCTGAGTCGACCTAGGGGAGGCCCGGAACCGGTTCAGATAATCGTCACTGGTGTTGGCCGTGAGCGGGAATCGAACCTGGGTCGCCAGGTTCATAGCGCAGCGCGCTAACCGCTACACTATCGCTCCCCACAAAGAGAGACACACACACACAGAGACAACAACAACCGCCATTCGCCACTAAGTGGCGGTGACGTCACCACGATGCTTGTGCCAGGCTATGTGCACCCTGAGGCCACGTGAAGTGTCGAACGCCCGCTGGCAGGAGGTCACGGGGCAGACCCAGGTGCCACGGGTCGGCTGACTGAGATGACTGGCTGATGCACCACCTGTGCCCCCTACTGTGCCAACCTGCTGTGCTTTAGCCACCCGGCGCTCCGCTCGTTGTTCTGAGCGTCGCTCCTCCGCCCTCCGTTGTTGTTGGAGGGCGACTACCTCCAACTGCCCAGTAGCATCCTTCACGAGCCTCCTCCACAGAGGCCGATGTTGACACCGCTGGTACCAGTCATCGGCAAGTTCACTAAGCTCCACGTCCTCCTGTACCACATCACTCCATCTCTTCTCTAGCCCGTGCCGTGCCCGCTTAGCCCCCTCAATCCGGCCGAACAAAAGCTGTTTCGGCATGGGGTGGCTGGGCATGCGGGCTACATGACCCAGCCATCGCAGCCTTGCCCACCGGAGGAGCTCACCGATGGGACCTTGCCCGAATCTTTCAAGGATTTGTGAGCTCCTCACACAATCCAGTCTGGTTAAACCCAGGATGGATCGTAGGCAGGCCAGCCTAAATGTTTCTAACCGGCGAAGATGTTCCATTAGGGGGGTCCACGTTTCGCAAGCGTAGACAAGGGAGGGAATGACCGTGGCCGAGAAGACCTGAAGCTTAGTGCGGAGCGACAGACCAGGTAGCTTCCACACAGCGTTACGCAACCGATGAAAAGATATTGCCGCTCGACTGATTCGGAGTGAGACCTCTGCTGTTAAACTGGAGCCGGTCATAAGCACACTGCCCAGGTATGGGAAACTCTCCATTCTCTCCACAACTGCCCCATCACCGATTGGGAGTTGTGGGGGTGGAGTGTCCGATGGTACAGGCAAGGTGCTTAGTTTTGGTGGGGCTGATGGTAAGGCCCCACATCTTAGTGGCACGCTCCAGTCTCAGCAGCAGCGTCTCCAACTCCTCCTCTGACTGAGCAGCTATTACCAAATCATCAGCATACATAACGTGGTTGAGCAATAGGGAGCCATCCCTTGACCGCACCCGGGCATCGATCAGCCTCCCATTATATCTGTACCATATGGAGATTCCCCCAAGTACAGCTATTGAAGGCTTCACGAACTACGTGGTCAAAATAGATGTTAAATAATGTGGGAGCCAGAGGACATCCCTGTCGCACCCCAAGGTGTACAGGGAATGGCTCTGACTCCCGGCCACGTAGTTTACCCGGGCCCGCTCACCATCATGAAGGTCCTTAATGATCGTGAGCAGTGGGTCAGGTACTCCAAAAGCACGAAGAACGACCCAGAGCCCAGGCCTACTGATGGTATCATAGGCCTTGACCAGGTCAATAAAGCAGAGATGTAGGTCTTGTTGGAATTCCCTACACCTCTGCTGTAGCAGACGGGCAGAAAATATGGCATCTGTGCAGGACCGCCCTTTCCTGAAACCACATTGGGGCTCCGCAAGCCTCTCCTCAGCGTGCCTGGCAAGGCGATGCTGAATAATCCTTGCCAGGACCTTTCCCGGCACACTGAGGAGTGAGATGCCCCTGTAGTTGTTACAGTCTGTGCGGTCCCCCTTCTTAAAAAGGGGGACCACCAGGGCATCCTTCCAATCCTGCGGAACCCGTCCAGTGGTCCAGACTGTTGTTATGATGTCATATAGGGCAGTCTGTGCACAAACGCCACCCTCCCTCAGCATTTGCTTGGGAGATCATCTCTGCCCGCTGCCTTTCCTGGTCTCAGACTCCGGATCGCCTTCAGTACTTCCTCAACAGATGGCACCTCAGCCAGCCACTCAGAGGGGGTGACTTCTTCCAATATTTGAGGCACCGCAGCCTCAGCAGGGTCATCCTCACTTTGTGCCACGATGTTTTCCTGGCTGAGGGATTTTCCCTCCCCCAGGACCTCACAGAAATCCTCAGCAAATCTGCAAACCTGTTCCTCGGGGTCGGAGATTGGATCACCGTTTTTTCCCCTAATGATGGTAATAGGTGTGGCGCTGCAGGTTACTTTTTTGATGAAGTTAAATAGAGATTTGAGATCACGGGCCACTAAGGCAGACTCCATCTCCTCAGCAACCCGCGACCACCACCCATCCTTGCAGCGCCTCACGGCTCTCCGAACCTCCGAGCGAAGGCTGCGGTAAGCCTCCTCATTCTCTGACGTGGGATTCTGTAGCCGATGACAGTGGGCCTGTCGCTTTTACTCAACCATCCTGAACACCTCCTCTGTCAGCCAGGGTCTCTGGGAAGGTCTGGACCGCGTACCTAAAGCAGCCATTGCAGCTGCATGAGTCACAGTCCTAAACCTCGCCCATTTATCCTCGACATCAGGAAGAGTCGGGGACGATGCCAATCCCAGCCACAAGCGATGATTAAATTCTCGCTTGCAACTTTCATCAGATAACTGAGACCAGGCCACTTTAGGTCGGAATGGGGTCCTGGGTGTACACCTACCACCGGAGTGGAAGAATGGCAGGCGCATCTTACAGATGACTAGTCGATGGTCAGAGGGCAGATCAGCTCCACGGTAGGTCCTGGTGTCAAGGACATGGGCTCGCATCCGCTGGTCCGTCACTATGTAGTCCAGCAGATGTTCTTGCTTGGACCCGGCATGCATCCATGATGTTGTGTGGATGCGCCGATGCTGGAACAGCGTGTTGGTAATTACAAGCCCATGGGCTGCACAAAAATCTAGCAGCCTCCTACCGTTGTTATTGAGCTGATCTGGCCCATGCCCTACAATCACTCCAGACCAGGTGCCAGTATCATGACCAACTCGGGCATTGAAGTCACCCAACATGATGACTCTATTCCGAGGGGCCACTTTAGCCAGCACCTGTGACAGGAGGTCATAGAAGGCATCTGACTCATCGGCTTTGCCTGCATCCCTCCACGGATGTTCATCTTCGGTGGGGGCATAAGTAACCACGACCACCATTCCTCGCCTCCGGTTGATGGGAAGGCGAGCCCAAAGTAGCCTGGGGCTTACAGCTTCCCACACCTCACCGCCACGCTCCCAAGCCCCCTTCATTCTTTTGTTCAAAAGAAGAGCCACACCCTGTTGTTTGGCAGTCTGCTGCCCCGAGTAGAGGACTGTCCACCCCTCATGGTGGCAGGAGCCAGAGCCGGTCCACCGGACCTCCTGAATGCTGCATAGATCCAGGCGGTACCGGTCCAGCTCCCGACAGAGGAGTGGCAGCCTCTCCTCCGCAGTGAGCGTTCGAACATTCCACGTGGCCATCCGTAGTGGCTTTTCGTTGTTTCTGGAGTAGCCCCGTGGGTAGGTATTCAATCTCCTGGCTCCGCCAATTGTGGTTTGGCCAGGAGACGTCATAGACGCCTGGCCCCCCGGGGCCTCCGGCACAAGCTTATTAGTTACATATTTCAGTTTAACTCGTGGTTTCGTGGTAATTAATTGAAGGTGGAGGGGTTACCAGCCCCTCGCACCCGTCCAGAGCCCCCATTTAGCCCCTGTGGTGGACACATACGCCATGAGGGGAGGAGCCAATCAAAATTGGATCTCCCCCCACAGCACTGTCCACGACAGAGTTGCCCGTCCGGCACCGCGAGGAGGTAGGGGGTTGTTTTGCCGGAGACACACACGCAGAGAGACACACACACACACACACAGAGACACACACACACAGAGACACACACACACACACAGAGACACACACACAGAGAGACACACACACACAGAGACACACACACACAGACACACACACACAGAGACACATACAGAGACACACACACACAGAGACACACACACACACAGACACACACACACAGACACACACACACAGAGACACACACACACAGAGAGACACACACAGAGACACACACACACACAGAGACACAGACACACAGAGACACAGACACACACACAGAGAGACACACACACAGAGACACACACACAGAGAGACACACACACACACACAGAGACACAGAGACACACACACACACAGAGACACACATAGACACACACACACAGAGACACACACACACACAGAGACACACACACACACACCTGCACACACACACACACACACAGAGACACACACACACACACATAGACACACACACACACACACAGGTCACCCTCCCCGGTCACCCTCCCCACTCACGTTGTCGAAGAAGCAGTCGTACCCGCCGGGGGCGGCCTGAGCGAGGGCCGCGTCGAGCGACGAGACGGAGCGGTAGTTGAGCGCCGAGTCAAAGCCCAGCTCCTTGAGGAGCTCCACCTTGGGGTCGGAGCCCGCAAAGCCGACCACTCGGCAGCCCTGACGCGGGGGGGGGGGGGACACGTGGGGGGGGGGGGAGGAGACACGGGGGGGGGGGGGGGGACACGTGGGGGGGGGGGGAGGAGACACGGGGGGCGGGGGGGGTTGATGTGTGGACGCAGAGGGAGATGTTAGAGGGACACGGACACGGGGAGACACATGGAGGAGGGAGACGTGGGGGGGGTGAGAGACGTGTGGGTGAGAGACGTGGGGGTGAGAGACGTGGGGGGGTGAGAGACGTGTGGGTGAGGACGTGGGGGGGTGAGAGACGTGGGGGGGTGAGAGACGTGTGGGTGAGACGTGGGGGGGTGAGAGACGTGTGGGTGTGACGTGGGGGGTGAGAGACGTGGGGGGGTGAGACGTGGGGGGGTGAGAGACGTGGGGCGGTGTGAGACGTGGGGGGTGAGAGACGTGGGGGGGTGAGACGTGTGGGGGTGAGAGACGTGGGGGGTGAGAGACGTGGGGGGGGTGAGAGACGTGTGGGGGTGAGAGACGTGGGGGGGTGAGGGATGTGGGGGGTGTGAGAGACGTGTGGGTGTGTGAGAGACGTGGGGTGTGTGACAGAGGACGTGTGGGTGTGTGAGAGAGACGTGAGGTGTGTAGTGAGCGACGTGAGGGTGTGGTGAGAGACGTGTGGGTGTGTGTGAGAGACGTGTGGGTGTGTGTGAGCGAGACGTGTGGGTGTGTGGTGACCAACGCGCGCGTGGTGGTGGTGGTGGTGGTGACAGACGAGCGGGATAGTTCGCAGGCTCACCTTGATCTTGCCAATCTGCCCCACCAGCATCCCCACGGCCCCTGCCGCCGCGTTCACAAGTAGCGTCTCGCCACGTGCCGGACCGCAGATCTCGAGCAGGCCGAAGTAGGCAGTCAGCCTGCGAGGGGCCACCAACATCAACAAGACGAAGATCAACTCCATCCATCCATCCACCCACACCCCAAGTCTGTTTAACGCACGCGTAAGCAAGCTTTCGCGACGTAACAAAAGGAACCTCGGGCTTCGATCGCGTTATTTGTGAACGCGCCAGTAGCCCCTCCACCATTGTCTTCTTTGGTTCTTTCGGTAAAGTCACCGCCACCACCACCACCACCACCACCACCACGTAGAATGAGAATGAAATAATAAATTGATAAGATAAAATAAAACACGATAATATTCTCGCGACGTTTCGGCCACAACACAAGCGGCCTTCATCAGGTGAAAGGAACGGACCTGTCGGGACGACAGAGCTTCAATGAACGTTTTCTTTGGTTCTTTCGGTAAAGTCACCACCACGTAGAACGAGAATAAAATAATAAATTGATAAAATAAAATAAAACACGATAATATTCTCGCGACGTTTCGGCCACAACACAAGCGGCCTTCATCAGGTGAAGGGGACGAGACTGTCTGGTAGGACAGCGCTGGAGTGAGAATATTATTGTGTTATTTTATTTTATCAATTTATTATTTTATTCTCATTCTACGTGGTGGTGGTGGTGACTTTACCGAAAGAACCAAAGAAGATGAATCCTTGCAGTCACGAAAGCTTTAAGACGACGGAATTGGTTCGCTCTTCGACGCAGCCTTGCGCTTTTTGGTGGTGCAGGTGGCCCGTCGTGTAGCCTCTTTACACGACCAAAAAAACTTCACTCGAAGCTTTCGCCAACGCGGGAATTCGGATTCTTTCAAGGGGCGTTTCGGGCAAAGTCACGTCACCCCCCACCTCCCCACCTCCCCACCATTCACGCGACTTTAGCGAGGAATCGGTGACAGGCAGTTGGGGGACAGCACCACCACCACCACCACGCCTAGCCGCCTTTGTCTCTCCAGTGGCGATGTTCACTACAACGTAAGCTTCCGTTTGGAACCTCTTGACCAGGGCTATTAATGCAGCGGCGTCTGCACATGGCGTTTGGAGAGCTTACGAATGCCTCTCCCGCGCTACTGCCGGAAAGTGTGAAAGGCTCTTCGTTCGGCAAGCGAGTGAGCTGGCGAGCCAACTAGTGAGTGAGTGAGCTAGTGAGTGAGTGAACCAACTAGTGAGTGAGTGAGCTAGTAAGTGAGTGAGTGAGCTAGTGAGTGAGTGAGCCAACTAGTGAGTGAGCCAGTGAGCAAACCAACTAGCGAGTGAGTGAGCTAGTGAGTGAGCCAACTAGTGAGCAAGTGAGCCAACTAGTGAGTGAGCTAGTGAGCTAGTGAGCGAACCAACTAGTGAGCGAACCAACTCGTGAGTGAGCCAGTGAGTGAGCTAGTGAGTGAGTGAGCTAGTGAGTGAGTGAGCTAGTGAGTGAGTGAGCTAGTGAGTAAGTGAGCTAGTGAGCGAACCAACTCGTGAGCGAGTGAGCCTGCAAACGACTGAGCGAGCGAGCGAGCTAGCGATCAAGCGAACTAGTGAGTCAGTGAGCAACCGAACGAGTCAGTGAGCGAGCGAGTGACAGAACGAGTCAGTGAGCGACCGAACGAGTCAGTGAGTGACCGAACGAGTCAGTGAGCGACCGAACGAGTCAGTGAGCGACAGAACGAGTCAGTGAGCGACCGAACGAGTCAGTGAGCGAGAGCGAGCGACCGACCGAACGAGTCAGTGAGCGACCGACGAGTCAGTGAGCGACCCGAACGAGTCAGTGAGCGAGCGAACGAGTTAGTGAGCGACCGAACGAGTCAGTGAGCGACCGAACGAGTCAGTGAGCGAGCGAGCGACCGACAGAACGAGTCAGTGAGTGACCGAACGAGTCAGTGAGCGAGCGAGCGAGCGACCGGACCGAACGAGTCAGTGAGCGACCGAACGAGTCAGTGAGCAACCGAACGAGTCAGCGAGCGACCGAACACGAGTCAGTGAGTGACCGAACGAGTCAGCGAGCGAGCGAGCGACCGACCGAACGATTCAGCGAGCGAGCGACCGAACGACTGAGCGAGCGAGCGAGGCGAGCGGGCGGGCGTTTGACGCCGGTTACCCGGGCATGCCGAGCACCCCGAGGGCGAGTGGAGCGAGGCAGCTCGGTGGGCCACGTGGACGGGAGGGCCTGCAGGCTGTCCCCCGTGGAGATGGAGTGGCTCCGCCAGCCCGCGTGGCTCACCACGAATGAGCCGACGTGGAACTCCGCCACCTTGCTCTCTACCACCCTGCACCACGTGGTGGGGTGGGGGGCAGAGGTCAGCCAGGCAGCCTCTCTATGTAGTGGTATAGTAGTGTATAGTGTAGTGTATAGTGTAGTGTATAGTGTATAGTGTAGATTTAGAGTGTAGTGTATAGTGTAGATTTAGAGTGTAGTCTATAGTGTAGATTTATAGTGTATAGTATAGATTTAGAGTGTAGTGTATAGTGTAGATTTAGAGTGTAGTGTATAGAGTAGATTTAGAGTGTAGTGTATAATGTAGATTTAGAGTGTAGTGTATAGTGTAGTGTATAGTGTAGATTTAGAGTGTAGTGTATAGTGTAGATTTAGAGTGTAGTGTATAGTGTAGATTTAGAGTGTAGTGTATAGTGTATAGTGTAGATTTAGAGTGTAGTATATAGTGTAGATTTAGAGTGTAGTGTATAGTGTAGATTTAGAGTGTAGTCTATAGTGTATAGTGTAGATTTAGAGTGTAGTGTATAGTGTAGATTTAGTGTAGTGTATAGTGTAGATTTAGAGTGTAGTGTATAGTGTAGTGTATAGTGTATAGTGTAGATTTAGAGTGTAGAGTATAGTGTAGTGTATAGTGTAGATTTAGAGTGTAGTGTATAGTGTAGATTTAGAGTGTAGTGTATAGTGTAGATTTAGAGTGTAGTGTATAGTGTAGATTTAGAGTGTAGTCTATAGTGTAGATTTAGAGTGTAGTGTATAGTGTAGTGTATAGTGTAGTGTATAGTGTAGTGTATAGTGTAGTGTATAGTGTAGATTTAGAGTGTAGTGTATAGTGTAGATGTAGAGTGTAGTGTATAGTGTAGATTTATAGTGTAGTGTGTAGTGTATAGTGTAGATTTAGAGTGTAGTGTATAGTGTAGATTTATAGTGTAGTGTATAGTGTAGATTTAGAGTGTAGTGTATAGTGTAGATTTAGAGTGTAGTGTATAGTGTAGATTTAGAGTGTAGTGTATAGTGTAGATGTAGAGTGTAGTGTATAGTGTAGATTTATAGTGTAGTGTATAGTGTAGATTTAGAGTGTAGTGTATAGTGTAGATTTAGAGTGTAGTGTATAGTGTAGATTTAGAGTGTAGAGTATAGTGTAGATTTAGAGTGTAGTCTATAGTGTAGTGTATAGTGTAGTGTATAGTGTAGATTTAGAGTGTAGTGTATAGTGTAGATTTAGAGTGTAGTGTATAGTGTATAGTGTAGATTTAGAGTGTAGTCTATAGTGTAGATTTATAGTGTATAGTGTAGATTTAGAGTGTAGTGTATAGTGTAGATTTAGTGTGTAGTGTATAGTGTAGATTTAGAGTGTAGTGTATAGTGTAGATTTAGAGTGTAGTGTATAGTGTAGATTTAGAGTGTAGTCTAGTGTATAGTGTAGATTTAGAGTGTAGTGTATAGTGTAGATTTAGAGTGTAGTGTATAGTGTAGATTTAGAGTGTAGTGTATAGTGTATAGTGTAGATTTATAGTGTAGTCTAGTGTATAGTGTAGTGTATAGTGTAGTCTAGTGTATAGTGTAGATTTAGAGTGTAGTCTATAGTGTAGATTTAGAGTGTAGAGTATAGTGTAGATTTAGAGTGTAGTGTATAGTGTAGATTTATAGTGTAGTCTATAGTGTAGATTTAGAGTGTAGTCTATAGTGTAGATTTATAGTGCAAACGTTGAGATTTATAGGGGGGGGCACGGGGTGACCCAATAAGGTCGGAATTCGACCGCAATAAGGTAGGCATTGATAAGGCGCTGACAGATATGTGAGTGTGGTGTATAGGGGCGGTGTACAATGCGAACGTTGAGATTTATCAAAAGGGGCGAGGGGGGAGCCCCAACAAGGGTCCGAATTGGCCTGGAAAGGCAGTGACTTCGTAAGGGGTCGGCGGGTAAAGTGACGTTGTTGTTGTTGTCGATGTTGTTGACGATGTTGTTGTTGTTGTTGATGAGAGCGCTGGTACGGTACTTGGCGACTTGCGAGCCGATCATCACGTCCCCCTCCTTCATATTCATCACGCTGTAGGGTCTGCACAAAAAAGGACACAGAGGTCCCTCCGTGTAGGCTTGACAGCGGACCCTCGCTAGCGAATGGCCCTCGCCGATGGAGGGGCGGTCGCAACGTGAATCGTGGGCTTCAGTAGAAACGTACGTAGCCAACCGTGCAGCAAAATTATAAAAAAAATTTTTTTTAAAAAAAATCGGAGGTGCGTTGTTGAGTCACGATAAAGGTTTTTTTTTTTTTTCGGGGGAATGGGGGGCGCGCGGGGGGGGGGGGGTTTAAATCGCGTTATTTACGAATGTGTTGCGACCCTCCAATCACCCGACACGGCCAAATCAGTAGCAGCAGCAGCAGCAGCAGCAGCAGCAAAAGAGTTCACTACTTTAACCCACCGGTGTGCTGAACAGCGGATCCGCAACATTTACAATTTGACTGCCGGTGACGTTTCGCTGGCAAACGGCATCTAGCAGCTTCGGGGCGAATTTCCCCACGAGAGCGAAAGTCATCCACCTGCTTGCGGTCTTAAAAGGGTGCAGCACGGGATGTCATCGTTGTTGGGACACCATCAGGGTTCGAGATCAGAGGCGGGGGGATGGGGTGGGTTGGGTTGGGTCAAGGTGTATGCAATTATGCAATAGCTTCAAATCAAGATTTAATTATGTAAGAGTTCAGTAATCCGCCACTTGGCATGCGACTCACCTGCAAGTCATTGCAATGTACGTTTGTGTACTGCTTAATAATCCGCTTCCAGGCTGCACCGAGTCCGTAGCTATCGAAGCGACTGCAATCATTTGAATTCCTCTCAATTTCAAATCGATTCTCTAAACTAATCTTGGCCGGTGATAATTCGTTCTGCGTAACACTTCAACGGTATCAACATCAATTGAATGCCCCTTGTTGGCAAGCATGTTCTGCCACTGCTGACAGCTGCGTTTGGGATAATTCAATGTTCCTTTGGTGTTCTTTTAGTCTTACGCTTATGCGACGTCCCATCCGCCCAGTATAAAAACCACTTGCTGCATAAGCAATTGATCCGATATGCACCTTCTGTGTGACAAGTCTGTGGGTATCTTCCACGACGAGTCTGTGGGTCTCTGTGTGGTGAGTCTGTGGGTCTCTGTGTGACGAGTCTGTGGGTCTCTGTGTGACGAGTCTGTGGGTCTCTGTGTGGTGAGTCTGTGGGTCTCTGTGTGGCGAGTCTGTGGGTCTCTGTGTGGTGAGTCTGTGGGTCTCTGTGTGACGAGTCTGTGGGCCTCTGTGTGACGAGTCTGTGGGCCTCTGTGTGACGAGTCTGTGGGTCTCTGTGTGGTGAGTCTGTGGGTCTCTCTGTGACGAGTCTGTGGGTCTCTATGTGATGAGTCTGTGGGTCTCTGTGTGATGAGTCTGTGGGTCTCTGTGTGACGAGTCTGTGGGTCTCTGTGTGGCGAGTCTGTGGGTCTCTGTGTAATGAGTCTGTGGGTCTCTGCATGATGAGTCTGTGGGTCTCTGTGTGGTGAGTCTGTGGGTCTCTATGTGATGAGTCTGTGGGTCTCTGTGTGACAAGTTTGTGGGTCTGTCTGTGACGAGTCTGTGGGTCTCTATGTGATGAGTCTGTGGGTCTCTGTGTGATGAGTCTGTGGGTCTCTGCGTGATGAGTCTGTGGGTCTCTGTGTGACGAGTTTGTGGGTCTGTCTGTGACGAGTCTGTGGGTTTCTATGTGATGAGTCTGTGGGTCTCTGTGTGATGAGTCTGTGGGTCTCTGCGTGATGAGTCTGTGGGTCTCTGTGTGATGAGTTTGTGGGTGTCTGTGTGATGAGTCTGTGGGTCTCTATGTGGTGAGTCTGTGGGTCTGTGTGTGATGAGTCTGTGGGTATCTGTGTGATGAGTCTGTGGGTCTCTGTGTGATGAGTCTGTGGGTCTGTCTGACGAGTCTGTGGGTTTCTATGTGATGAGTCTGTGGGTCTCTGTGTGATGAGTCTGTGGGTCTCTGCGTGATGAGTCTGTGGGTCTCTGTGTGATGAGTTTGTGGGTTGTCTGTGTGATGAGTCTGTGGGTCTCTATGTGGTGAGTCTGTGGGTCTCTGTGTGATGAGTCTGTGGGTGTCTGTGTGATGAGTCTGTGGGTCTCTGTGTGATGAGTCTGTGGGTCTCTATGTGATGAGTCTGTGGGTCTCTGTGTGACGAGTCTATGGGTCTCTGTGTGATGAGTCTGTGTGTCTCTATGTGATGAGTTTGTGGGTCTCTGTGTGGTGAGTCTGTGGGTCTCTGTGTGGTGAGTCTGTGGGTCTCTGTGTGGTGAGTCTGTGGGTCTCTGTGTGGGTGAGTCTGTGGGTCTCTGTGTGGCGAGTCGGTGGGTCTCTGTGTGACGAGTCTGTGTGTCTCTGTGTGACGAGTCTGTGTGTCTCTGTGTGATGAGTCTGTGGGTCTCTGTGTGATGAGTCTGTGGGTCTCTGTGTGATGAGTCTGTGGGTCTCTGTGTGGTGAGTCTGTGTGTCTCTATGTGGTGAGTCTGTGGGTCTCTATGTGATGAGTCTGTGGGTCTCTGTGATGAGTCTGTGGGTCTCTATGTGGTGAGTCTGTGGGTCTCTACGAGTCTGTGGGTCTCTATGTGATGAGTCTGTGGGTCTCTGTGTGACGAGTCTGTGGGTCTCTGTGTGGCGAGTCTGTGGGTCTCTGTGTAATGAGTCTGTGGGTCTCTGCGTGATGAGTCTGTGGGTCTCTGTGTGGTGAGTCTGTGGGTCTCTATGTGATGAGTCTGTGGGTCTCTGTGTGACAAGTTTGTGGGTCTGTCTGTGACGAGTCTGTGGGTCTCTATGTGATGAGTCTGTGGGTCTCTGTGTGATGAGTCTGTGGGTCTCTGCGTGATGAGTCTGTGGGTCTCTGTGTGACGAGTTTGTGGGTCTGTCTGTGACGAGTCTGTGGGTTTCTATGTGATGAGTCTGTGGGTCTCTGTGTGATGAGTCTGTGGGTCTCTGCGTGATGAGTCTGTGGGTCTCTGTGTGGTGAGTCTGTGGGTCTCTATGTGATGAGTCTGTGGGTCTCTGTGTGACAAGTTTGTGGGTCTGTCTGTGACGAGTCTGTGGGTCTCTATGTGATGAGTCTGTGGGTCTCTGTGTGATGAGTCTGTGGGTCTCTGCGTGATGAGTCTGTGGGTCTCTGTGTGATGAGTCTGTGGGTCTGTCTGTGACGAGTCTGTGGGTTTCTATGTGATGAGTCTGTGGGTCTCTGTGTGATGAGTCTGTGGGTCTCTGCGTGATGAGTCTGTGGGTCTCTGTGTGATGAGTTTGTGGGTGTCTGTGTGATGAGTCTGTGGGTCTCTATGTGGTGAGTCTGTGGGTCTCTGTGTGATGAGTCTGTGGGTATCTGTGTGATGAGTCTGTGGGTCTCTGTGTGATGAGTCTGTGGGTCTCTATGTGATGAGTCTGTGGGTCTCTGTGTGACGAGTCTATGGGTCTCTGTGTGATGAGTCTGTGTGTCTCTATGTGATGAGTTTGTGGGTCTCTGTGTGGTGAGTCTGTGGGTCTCTGTGTGGTGAGTCTGTGGGTCTCTGTGTGGTGAGTCTGTGGGTCTCTGTGTGGTGAGTCTGTGGGTCTCTGTGTGGCGAGTCGGTGGGTCTCTGTGTGACGAGTCTGTGTGTCTCTGTGTGACGAGTCTGTGTGTCTCTGTGTGATGAGTCTGTGGGTCTCTGTGTGATGAGTCTGTGGGTCTCTGTGTGATGAGTCTGTGGGTCTCTGTGTGGTGAGTCTGTGTGTCTCTATGTGGTGAGTCTGTGGGTCTCTATGTGATGAGTCTGTGGGTCTCTGTGATGAGTCTGTGGGTCTCTATGTGGTGAGTCTGTGGGTCTCTACGAGTCTGTGGGTCTCTATGTGATGAGTCTGTGGGTCTCTGTGTGACGAGTCTGTGGGTCTCTGTGTGGCGAGTCTGTGGGTCTCTGTGTAATGAGTCTGTGGGTCTCTGCGTGATGAGTCTGTGGGTCTCTGTGTGGTGAGTCTGTGGGTCTCTATGTGATGAGTCTGTGGGTCTCTGTGTGACAAGTTTGTGGGTCTGTCTGTGACGAGTCTGTGGGTCTCTATGTGATGAGTCTGTGGGTCTCTGTGTGATGAGTCTGTGGGTCTCTGCGTGATGAGTCTGTGGGTCTCTGTGTGAAGAGTTTGTGGGTCTGTCTGTGACGAGTCTGTGGGTTTCTATGTGATGAGTCTGTGGGTCTCTGTGTGATGAGTCTGTGGGTCTCTGCGTGATGAGTCTGTGGGTCTCTGTGTGATGAGTTTGTGGGTGTCTGTGTGATGAGTCTGTGGGTCTCTATGTGGTGAGTCTGTGGGTCTCTGTGTGATGAGTCTGTGGGTATCTGTGTGATGAGTCTGTGGGTCTCTGTGTGATGAGTCTGTGGGTCTCTATGTGATGAGTCTGTGGGTCTCTGTGTGACGAGTCTATGGGTCTCTGTGTGATGAGTCTGTGTGTCTCTATGTGATGAGTTTGTGGGTCTCTGTGTGGTGAGTCTGTGGGTCTCTGTGTGGTGAGTCTGTGGGTCTCTGTGTGGTGAGTCTGTGGGTCTCTGTGTGGCGAGTCTGTGGGTCTCTGTGTGACGAGTCTGTGTGTCTCTGTGTGACGAGTCTGTGTGTCTCTGTGTGATGAGTCTGTGGGTCTCTGTGTGATGAGTCTGTGGGTCTCTGTGTGATGAGTCTGTGGGTCTCTGTGTGGTGAGTCTGTGTGTCTCTATGTGGTGAGTCTGTGGGTCTCTATGTGATGAGTCTGTGGGTCTCTGTGATGAGTCTGTGGGTCTCTATGTGGTGAGTCTGTGGGTCTCTACGAGTCTGTGGGTCTCTATGTGATGAGTCTGTGGGTCTCTATGTGATGAGTCTGTGGGTCTCTGTGTGGTGAGTCTGTGGGTCTCTCTGTGGATCTCTGCGTGATGAGTCTGTGGGTCTCTGTGTGATGAGTCTGTGGGTCTCTGTGTCTGGCGAGTCTGTGGGTCTCTGTGTGGCGAGTCTGTGGGTCTCTGTGTGGCGAGTCTGTGGGTCTCTGTGTCTGGCGAGTCTGTTGAGGCCTCAAAGTGCACACAGTCTGGCACAAGCACCGTCGTTGGTGCGTCTGCGGGTCTCGAGATCGCTAAACAAGTCAACAGCAATTCACAGCACTTTCTCAATCCACTGCTGGATGGTCCAACCTGTGTGGTAGGGCAGCTGAAATCGCTCAGACTTCTGAACCGCGCAACTTCAGCCACACGCAGGAGTGAGGGGGTGGTGGTGGTGGGGGTGAAGACACTAACCTCATGTACGGATCCACGCTTAGAAACTCCGCCTCCAGCAGCAATTCTGCGGAACACCAAGACAAAGGAAAAACGCGGCCAATTCAGAGTATTTTTCGATTTAAAGCTTTCGTGACCGCAACGATTCATCTTCTTTGGTTCTCTCGGCAAAGTCACCACCGCGTAGGATGAGAACAAAATAATAAAATGGAACACGATAAAATTCTCACGACGTTTCGGCCACAACGCAAGCGGCCTTCTTCAGCGGAGAAAGGAACAAACCTCTTGTCGGGACGACAGAGCTTCGATGAACGCCGCCAAGATTCGCAACGTCTCTCTCTCGACCAGCTCAAAAGACGCTGCGAATCTTGGCGGCGTTCATTGAAGCTCTGTCGTCCCGACAGGAGGTTTTGTGCCTTTCCCCCTTGAAGAAGGCCGCTTGTGTCTTGGCCGAAACGTCGTGCGAATGTTATCGTTTTACCTTATTGTTTTATTCTCATTCTACGTGGTGGTGACTTTGCCGAGAGAACCAGAGAAGGTATTTTAGTATTTATTCATTTATTGAGGCCATGCAAGTCGAATGCTGCACTTTGCCGTTCGCTGGCAGAGCCAGGGGGTGGAACAGATGGAGATTAGTCCACACACGGGGTAGAAGGGAGCGAGATGGAACAGATGGAGATTAGTCCACACACTGTGTAGAAGGGAGCGAGATGGAACAGATGGAGATTAGTCAACACACGTGGTAGAAGGGAGCGAGATGGAACAGATGGAGATTAGTCCACACACGGGGTAGAAGGGAATGAGATGGAACAGATGGAGATTAGTCAACTCACAGCTAGAAGGGAGCGAGATGGAACAGATGGAGATTAGTCAACACATGGGGTAGAAGGGAGCGAGATGGAACAGATGGAGATTAGTCCACACACGGGGTAGAAGGGAGCGAGATGGAACAGATGGAGATTAGTCCACACACGGGGTAGAAGGGAGCGAGATGGAACAGATGGAGATTAGTCCACTCACAGCTAGAAGGGAGCGAGATGGAACAGATGGAGATTAGTCCACCCACAGGTTGAAGGGAGCGAGATGGAACAGATGGAGATTAGTCCACCCACAGGTTGAAGGGAGCGAGATGGAACAGATGGAGATTAGTCCACCCACGGGGTAGAAGGGAGTGAGATAGAACAGATGGAAATTAGTCCACACACGGCTAGAAGGGAGTGAGATGGAACAGATGGAGATTAGTCCACACACGGCTAGAAGGGAGTGAGATGGAACAGATGGAGATTAGTCCACTCACGGCTAGAAGGGAGCGAGATGGAACAGATGGAGATTAGTCCACTCGCGGGGTAGAAGGGAGCGAGATGGAACAGATGGAGATTAGTCCACACACGGGGTAGAAGGGAGCGAGATGGAACAGATGGAGATTAGTCCACACACTGTGTAGAAGGGAGTGAGATGGAACAGATGGAGATTAGTCCACACACGGGGTAGAAGGGAGTGAGATGGAACAGATGGAGATTAGTCCACCCACGGGGTAGAAGGGAGCGAGATGGAACAGATGGAGATTAGTCCACCCACGGGGTAAGAAGGGAGCGAGATGAAACAGATGGAGATTAGTCCACACACGGGGTAGAAGGGAGCGAGATGGAACAGATGGAGATTAGTCCACCCACAGGTAGAAGGGAGCGAGATGGAACAGATGGAGATTAGTCCACCCACAGGTAGAAGGGAGCGAGATGGAACAGATGGAGATTAGTCCACCCACAGCTAGAAGGGAGCGAGATAGAACAGATGGAGATTAGTCCACTCATGGCTAGAAGGGAGCGAGATGGAACAGATGGAGATTAGTCCACACACGGCTAGAAGGGAGTGAGATGGAACAGATGGAGATTAGTCCACACACGGCTAGAAGGGAGTGAGATGGAACAGATGGAGATTAGTCCACACACAGGGTAGAAGAGAGCGAGATGGAACAGATGGAGATTAGTCCACACACGGGGTAGAAGGGAGTGAGATGGAACAGATGGAGATTAGTCCACCCACAGGTAGAAGGGAGCGAGATGGAACAGATGGAGATTAGTCCACCCACAGCTAGAAGGGAGCGAGATAGAACAGATGGAGATTAGTCCACCCACGGGGTAGAAGGGAGTGAGATGGAACAGATGGAGATTAGGCCACCCACGGGGTAGAAGGGAGTGAGATGGAACAGATGAAGATTAGGCCACCCACGGGGTAGAAGGGAGTGAGATGGAACAGATGGAGATTAGTCCACCCACAGGTAGAAGGGAGCGAGATGGAACAGATGGAGATTAGTCCACCCACGGGGTGGAAGGGAGTGAGATGGAACAGATGGAGATTAGTTCACGCACAGCTAGAAGGGAGCGAGATGGAACAGATGGAAATTAGTCCACACACGGCTAGAAGGGAGTGAGATGGAACAGATGGAGATTAGTCCACACACGGGGTGGAAGGGAGCGAGATGGAACAGATGGAAATTAGTCCACACACGGCTAGAAGGGAGTGAGATGGAACAGATGGAGATTAGTCCACACACGGCTAGAAGGGAGTGAGATGGAACAGATGGAGATTAGTCCACACACGGCTATAAGGGAGTGAGATGGAACAGATGGAGATTAGTCCATACACGGCTAGAAGGGAGTGAGATGGAACAGATGGAGATTAGTCCACACACGGCTATAAGGGAGTGAGATGGAACAGATGGAGATTAGTCCACCCACGCGGTAGAAGGGAGCGAGATGGAACAGATGGAGATTAGTCCACACACTGTGTAGAAGGGAGCGAGATGGAACAGATGGAGATTAGTCCACTCACAGCTAGAAGGGAGCGAGAGAGAACAGATGGAGATTAGTCCACACACAGGGTAGAAGGGAGCGAGATGGAACAGATAGAGATTAGTCCACACACAGGGTAGAAGGCAGCGAGATGGAACAGATGGAGATTAGTCCACCCACGGGGTAGAAGGGAGTGAGATGGAACAGATGGAGATTAGTCCACCCACAGGTAGAAGGGAGCGAGATGGAACAGATGGAGATTAGTCCACCCACGGGGTAGAAGGGAGTGAGATGGAACAGATGGAGATTAGTCCACCCACAGGTAGAAGGGAGCGAGATGGAACAGATGGAGATTAGTCCACCCACAGGTAGAAGGGAGCGAGATGGAACAGATGGAGATTAGTCCACCCACAGGTAGAAGGGAGCGAGATGGAACAGATGGAGATTAGTTCACACACAGCTAGAAGGGAGCGAGATGGAACAGATGGAAATTAGTCCACACGCGGCTAGAAGGGAGTGAGATGGAACAGATGGAGATTAGTCCACACACGGCTAGAAGGGAGTGAGATGGAACAGATGGAGATTAGTCCACTCATGGCTAGAAGGGAGCGAGATGGAACAGATGGAGATTAGTCCACACACGGCTAGAAGGGAGTCAGATGGAACAGATGGAGATTAGTCCACACACGGCTAGAAGGGAGTGAGCTAGAACAGATGGAGATTAGTCCACCCACAGCTAGAAGGGAGCGAGATAGAACAGATGGATATTAGTCCACCCACAGGTAGAAGGGAGCGAGATGGAACAGATGGAGATTAGTCCACACACGGTGTAGAAGGGAGTGAGATGGAACAGATGGAGATTAGTCCACCCACAGCTAGAAGGGAGCGAGATGGAACAGATGGAAATTAGTCCACACACGGCTAGAAGGGAGTGAGATGGAACAGATGGAGATTAGTCCACACACGGGGTGGAAGGGAGTGAGATGGAACAGATGGAGATTAGTCCACGCACGGCTAGAAGGGAGTGAGCTGGAACAGATGGAGATTAGTCCACACACGGCTAGAAGGGAGTGAGCTGGAACAGATGGAGGTTAGTCCACCCACGGCTAGAAGGGAGCGAGATGGAACAGATGGAGGTTAGTCCACGCACGGCTAGAAGGCAGCGAGATGGAACAGATGGAGATTAGTCCACGCTCTGCTGCTGTACCACCTTCTAGCGCCGGGGGTACGGCTCCCACCCACGGAGTAGAAGGGAGACTCGGCACCGATCCGGCAAGATCAGGGGGTCAATGTCACCTTTGACGAAGGGGCATGGAGTTTGCACATCAGAGAGAGAGAGAGAGCGTGATAGATAGAGATCTAGAGATACAGGGTCGTCTCCGACTTACGATGTAGATGCGTTCCGACGACCCCCATCCTTAGTCGAAAATATCGTAAGACGAAAATGGCCTAGCCCTACCCAGGAGTCTTAGAGAATGGTGATAATTTAGCAAAACAGAGCCATTCACGGCACCGTACTGTATGTATTAATCAATTACAATACTGTATTGCAGAGTCAAATTTAAAGTAAAAAAAACAAGGTAAATTCTTAGCCTACCTATACGAACTGCAATTTCATAGAAAGCTTTTTCAGGAAACAATCCTATATCCGCTATATATATAAAAAAAAAACTTTTAACATGCATTGAACGTACGAATCGTACCGTGGCAACCCTAAAATCAAATCGCTAAAGCTACGCATCACACGGGCGTTGAACGTATCTTAACGTATCACAGTTCTGCTGTTGCTCGCCAAGATTCTGTCCGTCGTCTGCATAACTTGAACGATGTGTAGGTTGTCGATGGCCACGTTAAAACTTAGCTGTCGGAAGGGGAGGATGGCGATGACAAAGTTACGGCAATCTTACATCGTGGTACGCTGATGCGTTTGCCTGCCGCCGCGAAATTAAAAAAAATGCTTAACAATTTTGTCGCATCGCTATCGCCATCGTACCAACGAAATATCGTAAGTCGGGGACTACCTGTGTATATACATATTTAGAGAAAGAGACAGAGAGGATTTTTGGCAAGAGAGAGAGAAAGATATACATTTGGGGAGAGAGAGAGAGAGATTTGAACCCCACCTCCATCCTTGATGGCGGGGAGTTCCTCCTCCTCCAGCAGGAAGTCGCTGGACTTTGGGAACCCCACAAAGTGACTCTTCAGTTTCCACACCTTGGCCAGAACCATCTTGGACGGGGCAGCTTGTGGGCAGAGCGTGGGGAGCGAAAACCGGAGGCACTCCGCCTCTCTCTGGTATGGAGATAACGATGATCACGGAATCAGAAAGGGTTTCATCCGACATTAAAGTTCACAGGGACACGGAACTTACTTTGGCAGGATGGCACACGCATTGAACATATTATAAAATCTAAAATCTTAAATAAGTGGTAAACAAGTCTTACTATTTTGATTTAAAGCTTTCGTGACTGCAGTAATTCATATTCTTAGTTTTTTCGGTAAAGTCACGTTGAAGAGAAACAACAAAATAATAAAATTGTTTTTTTTATATATTTTATTATTTTGTTGTTTCTCTTCAACGTGACTTTACCGAAAAAAACTAAGAATAAGTCTTACTATAATAAAGGGTTCAAAGTCTAACCAACACCAAAGGGGCTAAAGTACATGAAACTGAACAAACATCGAACACATAAAATAGCTATAAAATACAATATTAAAATAAATAAATAAAAATACACACACACAGAGGGCCAGAGAGAGAGAGAGACAGAGTGAGAGAGACTTTGACTCTTAAACCACTTTTACTGCCGCCAGCAGCAACAACACTCCAAGGCAATTTCGAAACGGACCAAAGTCTCCAGCCACACAAAAACGCAATAATTAAAAAAATGCACGCCACACGCAACACCACACGAACAATGGTCACGTGGTGGTGGTGGTGGTAGTTGTTGTCGCGCTCGCCATGCCGACGACCGAGCACGCGAGGAGGTGAAAAGGACGGTGCCGTTCACGTCGGTATGGAGAGCGTTCGAAGAAGACACGTGCTGCTAGTTCACCGGCGTGCGAGTGACGTGTGAGTGACGCGTGAGTGACGTGTGAGTGACGCGTGAGCGACGTGTGAGTGACGCGTGAGCGACGCGCGTGAGTGACGTGTGAGTGACGTGTGAGTGGTACGTGAGTGACGTGTGAATGACGTGTGAGTGACGTGCGAGTGGTACGCGTGAGTGGTACGTGAGTGACGTGTGAGTGACGTGCGAGTGGTACGTGAGTGACGTGTGAGTGACGTGTGAGTGACGCGCGTGAGTGACGCGCGTGAGCGACGCGTGAGTGACGTGTGAGTGACGTGTGAGTGGTACGCGTGAGTGACGTGTGAGTGGTACGCGTGAGTGGTACGCGTGAGTGGTACGCGTGAGTGACGTGTGAGTGACACACGTGAGTGGTACGCGTGAGTGGTACGCGAGCGACACGCGTGAGTGACACGCGTGAGTGGTACGCGAGCGACACGCGTGAGTGGTACGTGAGTGACGTGTGAGTGACACACGTGAGTGGTACGCGTGAGTGGTACGCGTGAGTGACACGCGTGAGTGGTACGCGTGAGTGACACACGTGAGTGGTACGTGAGTGGTACGTGAGTGGTACGCGTGAGTGGTACGCGTGAGTGGTACGTGAGTGACGTGTGAGTGACGTGTGAGTGACACGCGTGAGTGACACGCATGAGTGGTACGCGAGCGACACGCGTGAGTGGTACACGTGAGTGGTACGCGTGAGTGGTACACGTGAGTGGTACGCGTGAGTGGTACACGTGAGTGGTACATGTGAGTGGTACGCGTGAGTGGTACGTGAGTGACACGCGTGAGTGACACGCGTGAGTGGTACGCGTGAGTGGTACGCGTGAGTGGTACGTGAGTGACACGCGTGAGTGACACGCGTGAGTGACACGCGTGAGTGACACGCGTGAGTGGTACACGTGAGTGGTACGCGTGAGTGGTACACGTGAGTGGTACGTGAGTGGTACACGTGAGTGGTACGCGTGAGTGGTACACGTGAGTGGTACACGTGAGTAGTACGTGTGAGTGGTACGCGTGAGTGACACGCGTGAGTGGTACGCGTGAGTGACACGCGTGAGTGGTACGTGAGTGGTACGTGAGTGACGCGTGAGTGACGTGTGAGTGGTACACGTGAGTGGTACGTGAGTGATGTGTGAGTGGTACGCGTGAGTGGTACGTGAGTGGTACGTGAGTGACGCGTGAGTGACGTGTGAGTGGTACGCGTGAGTGGTACACGTGAGTGGTACGCGTGAGTGGTACGCGTGAGTGACACGCGTGAGTGGTACACGTGAGTGGTACGCGTGAGTGGTACGTGAGTGGTACACGTGAGTGACGTGTGAGTGGTACGTGAGTGACGTGTGAGTGACGTGCGAGTGGTACGCGTGAGTGGTACGTGAGTGACGTGTGAGTGACGTGTGAGTGGTACGTGAGTGACGTGTGAGTGACGTGCGAGTGGTACGCGTGAGTGGTACGTGAGTGACGTGTGAGTGACGTGTGAGTGGTACGTGAGTGACGTGTGAGTGACGTGTGAGTGACGTGTGAGTGGTACGTGAGTGACGTGTGAGTGACGTGTGAGTGGTACGTGAGTGACGTGTGAGTGACGTGTGAGTGACGCGCGTGAGTGACGCGTGAGTGACGTGTGAGTGGTACGCGTGAGTGACGTGTGAGTGGTACGCGTGAGTGACGCGTGAGTGACGTGTGAGTGGTACGTGAGTGACGTGCGAGTGACGTGTGAGTGACACGCGTGAGTGGTACGCGTGAGTGGTACGTGAGTGACACGCGTGAGTGGTACACGTGAGTGGTACACGTGAGTGGTACACGTGAGTGGTACACGTGAGTGACGTGTGAGTGGTACGTGAGTGGTACACGTGAGTGGTACGTGAGTGACACGCGTGAGTGGTACGCGTGAGTGACGTGTGAGTGGTACGCGTGAGTGACACACGTGAGTGGTACGCGTGAGTGGTACGTGAGTGACGTGCGAGTGACGTGTGAGTGACACGCGTGAGTGGTACGCGTGAGTGGTACGTGAGTGACACGCGTGAGTGGTACACGTGAGTGGTACACGTGAGTGGTACACGTGAGTGGTACACGTGAGTGACGTGTGAGTGGTACACGTGAGTGGTACGTGAGTGACGCGCGAGCGGGACGCGGCGAGCTCCAGCCGGGGCCGCGCCTTGAGCAGGCCCCTGAACGCCGGCAGCACCGCGGAGCGGGCCGTCGGCGCCGCCTCGCAGCGTCTTTGTTCCTCGTCCTGTACACCGGCCCACCCTGGCTCAGGCACCGGCGGAGTCGGCGACTTCGTGGCGCTCGTTGGCCAGGCGAGGCACCGCCCCACACGCACGAAGCTGCCATTGTAGAAGGGCGCCCTCCCCCCCCCGCCCCCCCCCCCCCGCCCCCCCAGTTCCCCGAAGACGGTCCCCAACAGTCGGAACGTTGGGGTTCAGCCGCTGGGGGCGCAAGTGCCCCCCCAGATCCTCCCCGGCACCGCAGAAAGTGCACAAGTCTGGAACCCCCCGAGCGAGATTACCGGCCGAGCCACAGGGCGGCTGATGGCAACGTCCGGCGTGCCAATCTCCACCGAAGGTCACCGCAGCATTCGGCTATGGGGTGGGGGGTGGGGGGGGGGGGGGGTGGGGGGTGGGGGGAGGCTGCCACAATGCGGGGAGAGAAATGATCTCTCAATTTTTTGTGCCCGGTAGGTCGGCCAGGTCCCGGGTCGTGCAGCGCCTTGGACGCAGCCACAGGAGATGCACAACTCCGGAAGGGAGGAAGGAGGAGAGAAGGGGGGGGGGAGGAGGGGGGGTGGTGGTGGTGGTGGTGCCACCATCCCCCGGCATCGCCAGCTGCTTCGGACGTCCCCGCAGGCAGATTCTCCCCGGCGAGCGCGGAGCGGAGTCCCCCAAGCGGTGCCGGCGATCTCAGCTTGCGGTCTTCCACTTGCTCCGGTGGGGGGCCCGCACGAGGCGGAAGACCGCCCCGCCCCACAGCAGCCCTGCCGAGGTGTGGCGTAGGGCCGGGGGGGGGGGTCCTCTCTCCTCCGATCCCCTGAAGAGGCCGTTGCAGAACAGGGGGCTCTCGTTCAGGAAAATGCGCGAGGTCGTAGCGCGCACTCGAAGCTCCGCCACGCGTCCAAGAGGCTCCGGTGATAACCCGGCAGCCTCGTGCAGTCGATCAGGCTCAGGTCCAACAGGAAGAACTCATTTCCTTACACCCCCCCCCCCCCTACGACGTCTGCGTAGGTCAAGATCCTGACGACCGCGTTCTCAGGTCCCGGGGCCTCGAGGCCGGACAGATTTTCGTCCGAGGTGGCGTAGCAGTGGCTCAATGGGCAGGGTGCAACAGCAGTTCCAAGAGGGGCCGCACAGCTGACCGACTCCCACTCCCCCCCCCCCCACCCCCCGTCACGGGGAAAGGGGCGCCGGGCCGCTGGTTTGTCTTCACGAGGCCGGACGTGCCCCCCCCTCTCCCCCCCCCCCCGCCGTGTACAGGAGCCTAACGTGCGAGATGAAGGCCCTGGCCGAAGCCGAGCGACGTTAGGAGCTTGTCCACGGCGCTCGTGGCTCGCCCTGTCGAAGGCCTTCTACCGATGCAAGAAGAGGAGGCCCCGAGTCCACGTCGCGAGATTAATGCCTCCGAACGAACCGATGTTGTCGTAGATGCACCGGGCCGGGGATGCAAATACGACTGTTCCGGCAGGACCAGCTGACCCAGCGCCGTCTTGAGGAGGTTTGTCATAAACCCCGGAGAAGATTTTGCAGTCGGCGCACAAAGAGGGAGACGCGGGTCGCCAATTCTCGATGAGGCGCACATTCCCATCTTCTTGAGGAGTAGGGAGACCGTCGCTCTGCTGCAGTTCTGTGGGAGTTCACCCCTTCCGCAGGCCTCTCCGTCAACAATTCCAAGTAGGCCTGTTGGCGTCTTCTGGTCCAACACCAGTGGAGACTAAGGGCTCTAAGAAAAGCCGTCACGGGTGTGGACCAATCAAATTCAAGGACAGTGCCAATATCATTATCAGAGTTGTCTCTTTTTTGCTTGCATTTTGACTACACGTGTTGTGGCTTTTGCAAACATGATCCCTTGTATGAAAGGTGTCAGTTTTTTGCGTCAGGCAAAAAAGGGTAAAAACCTATTACTGCTACCAATCCCAGTAGGCTCGGGCCGAGCTCGTCCCAAAAGACCGCGTGAAACCCGGCCGGTAGGCCGGCAAATCCCTAGGGCTTGACAGGCTGCGGGCCCCTTTCACAGCGGCGTGGAGCTCCTGCTGCTGAAGGGTGACGGGGGCTGCCCGGACGATCCTGTCCAGTAGCTCCTGGACAGACTCCCTCGCCCTCTTGCATTGTTGGTCTACGTGGAGGTGTTGCAAGGTCGGTCTACGTGGAGGTGTTCCAAGGTCGGTCCACGTGGAGGTGTTGCAAGGTCGGTCTACGTGGAGGTGTTGCACGGTCGGTCTACGTGGAGGTGTTGCAAGGTTGGTCTACGTGGAGGTGTTGCAAGGTCGGTCTACGTGGAGGTGTTGCAAGGTCGGTCTACGTGGAGGTGTTGCACGGTCGGTCTACGTGGAGGTGTTGCAAGGTCGGTCTACGTGGAGGTGTTGCACGGTCGGTCTACGTGGAGGTGTTGCAAGGTCGGTCTACGTGGAGGTGTTGCAAGGTTGGTCTATGTGGAGGTGTTGCAAGGTCGGTCTACGTGGAGGTGTTGCAAGGTCACTCTTGTCACACGAAGGACTTTGACCGGGGTTCGTAGCAAAGCGCAGCTCGGCCCTAACCACTGAGCCACCGTGCGTGCGTGTGTGTGCGTGTACGTACGCGGTGTGTGGGGAGCGGTAAGATTAGTGGTTAGCGCCATGAACCTGGCGACCCGGGTTCGACTCCCACTCAGGGCCACCACCAGTGATGATTATCTGAACCGGTCCTGGGTCTCCCCTGGGTCGACTCGGCCCGCAATGAGTTACCTGGTGTAGTGAACATCGCCACTAGGGAGACAAAGGCGGCCGGGCGTGGTGGTGCTGGCCACCCACCCCCTCGTGTGCCATAGCGCCGGCCTTCATTAGGTGCTGCTGCTACTCGCTACTAACAGCACTTGCCCCTACAGCCCTGCTAAAGGCTACACGGGGGAGCTTTGTCTGTGTATAGGTGCTGCTGCTACTCGCTACTAACAGCACTTGCCCCTACAGCCCTGTCAGAGGCTACACGGGGGATCTTTGTCTGTGTATAAGTGCTGCTGCTACTCGCTACTAACAGCACTTGCCCCTACAGCCCTGCTAGAGGCTACACGGGGGATCTATGTCTGTGTATAGGTGCTGCTGCTACTCGCTACTAACAGCACTTGCCCCTACAGCCCTGTTAGAGGCTACACGGGGGATCTTTGTCTGTGTATAGGTGCTGCTGCTGCTACTCGCTACTAACAGCACTTGCCCCTACAGCCCTGCTAGAGGCTACACGGGGGAGCTTTGTCTGTGTGTAGGTGCTGCTGCTACTCGCTACTAACAGCCCTTGCCCCTACAGTCTCTTGAGGCTACACGGGGGATCTTTGTCTGTGTATAGGTGCTGCTGCTACTCGCTACTAACAGCACTTGCCCCTACAGCCCTGCTAGAGGCTACACGGGGGAGCTTTGTCTGTGTGTAGGTGCTGCTGTTATTCGCTACTAACAGCCTTTGCCCCTACAGTCTGTTGAGGCTACACGGGGGATCTTTGTCTGTGTGAGCGAAGTCCACTGTTTGAGTTAATCCAGATCTTCCCATTGCACAACGCACATACATAACAAAGACAAAGATCTCCCGTGTAGCCTCAAGAGACTGTAGGGGCAAGGGCTGTTAGTAGCGAGTAGCAGCAGCACCTATACACAGACAAAGATCCCCCGTGTAGCCTCTAGCAGGGCTGTAGGGGCAAGTGCTGTTAGTAGCGAGTAGCAGCAGCACCTATACACAGACAAAGATCCCCCGTGTAGCCTCTAACAGGGCTGTAGGGGCAAGTGCTGTTAGTAGCGAGTAGCAGCAGCACCTACACACAGACAAAGATCCCCCGTGTAGCCTCTAGCAGGGCTGTAGGGGCAAGTGCTGTTAGTAGCGAGTAGCAGCAGCACCTATACACAGACAAAGATCCCCCGTGTAGCCTCTAACAGGGCGGTAGGGGCAAGTGCTGTTAGTAGCGAGTAGCAGCAGCAGCGCCTATACACAGACAAAGATCCCCCAGGTAGCCTCTAACAGGGCTGTAGGGGCAAGTGCTGTTAGTAGCGAGTAGCAGCAGCACCTAATGAAGGCCGGCGCTGTGGCACACGAGGGGGTGGGTGGCCAGCACCACCACGCCCGGCCGCCTTTGTCTCCCCTGCCCAGAGCTCAGGGCTGTCGGAGTTCGCAGCATAGCGCGAACCACTCCACCACCGCTCCGCTCACCTCACCCTCACCTCACCTCACCCTCACCTCACCCGCTCACCTCACCTCACCTCACCCGCTCGCTCACCTCACCTCGCCCGCTCACCTCACCTCACCCGCTCGCTCACCTCACCTCAGCTCACCTCACCCGCTCGCTCACCTCACCCTCACCTCGCCCGCTCACCTCACCCTCACCTCGCCCGCTCACCTCACCCTCACCTCGCCCGCTCACCTCACCTCACCTCACCCGCCCGCTCACCTCACCTCGCCCGCTCACCTCACCTCACCCCGCCCGCTCACCTCACCTCACCCCGCTCGCTCACCTCACCTCACCCGCTCGCTCACCTCACCCGCCCGCTCACCTCACCTCACCCGCTCGCTCACCTCACCTCACCCGCTCGCTCACCTCACCTCAGCTCACCTCACCTCACCCCGCCCGCTCACCTCACCTCACCCGCTCGCTCACCTCACCTCGCCCGCTCACCTCACCTCACCTCGCCCGCTCACCTCACCTCACCCGCCCACTCACCTCACCTCACCTCACCCGCTCACCTCACCTCGCCCGCTCACCTCACCTCACCCGCCCGCTCACCTCACCTCACCCGCTCACCTCACCTCACCCGCCCGCTCACCTCACCTCACCCGCCCGCTCACCTCACCTCACCCGCTCACCTCACCTCACCCGCTCACCTCACCTCACCTCACCCGCCCGCTCACCTCACCTCACCCGCTCGCTCACCTCACCCGCTCGCTCACCTCACCTCGCCCGCTCACCTCACCTCACCTCACCCGCCCGCTCACCTCACCTCACCCGCCCGCTCACCTCACCTCACCCGCTCACCTCACCCGCCCGCTCACCTCACCTCACCCGCTCACCTCACCCGCTCACCTCACCTCGCCCGCTCACCTCACCTCACCCGCTCGCTCACCTCACCCGCTCGCTCACCTCACCCGCTCACCTCACCTCACCTCACCCGCTCACCTCACCTCACCTCACCCGCTCACCTCACCCGCTCGCTAACCTCACCCGCTCGCTCACCTCACCCGCTCACCTCACCTCACCTCACCCGCTCACCTCACCTCACCCGCCCGCTAACCTCACCTCGCCCGCTCACACGCCCAGCTCACACATCACCCACTCACCGCCACACACACGCGCTAGCACAAAGACAAAGATCCCCCGGATAGCCTTAATGGACTGTTGGGGAAAGTGCACGCACAATCTCTCACACACACTCACACACAACAACAACCGCCGTTCGCCACTAAGTGGCGGTGACGTCACCACGACGCTTGTGCCAGGCTATGTGCACCTTGAGGCCACGTGAAGTGTCAAACGCCCGCTGGCAGGAGGTCACGGGGCAGACCCAGCAGGTGCCACGGGTCGACTGACTGAGATGACTGGCTGATGCACCACCTGTGCCCACTACTGTGCCAACCTGCTGCTCTTTAGCCACCCGGCGCTACGCTCGTTGTTGTGAGCGTCGCTCCTCCGCCCTCCGTTGTAGTTGGAGGGCGACTACCTCCAACTGCCCAGGAGCATCCTTCACGAGCCTCCTCCACAGAGGCCGATCTTGACACCGCTGGTACCGGTCATCGGCAAGTCCACTCAGCTCCACGTCCTCCTGTACCACATCACTCCATCTCTTCTCTAGCCACGTGCCTCCTGTACCACATCACTCCATCTCTTCTCTAGCCACGTGCCTCCTGTACCACGTCACTCCATCTCTTCTCTAGCCCATGCCTCCTGTACCACATCACTCCATCTCTTCACTAGCCCCGTGCCTCCCGTACCATATCACTCCATCTCTTGACTAGCCCCGTGCCTCCTGTACCACGTCACTCCATCTCTTCTCTAGCCCCGTGCCTCCTGTACCACATCACTCCATCTCTTCTCTAGCCCCGTGCCGCGCCCGTTTAGCCCTCTCGATCCGGCCGAACAAAAGCTGTTTCGGCATGCGGTGGCTGGGCATGCGGGCTACATGACCCAGCCAACGCAGCCTTGCCTGCCGGAGGAGCTCACCGATGGGACCTTGCCCAGATCTTTCAAGGATTTGTGAGCTCCTCACACAATCCAGCCTGCTGGTTAAACCCAGGATGGATCGTAGGCAGGTCAGCCTAAATGTTTCTAATCGGCGAAGATGCTCCATTAGGGGGGTCACACACACGCACAATCTCTCACACACACACACGCGCAATCTCCCACACACACAATCTCAATCTCACACACACACAATCTCTCACACACACACAATCTCTCACACACACACAATCTCTCACACACACACAATCTCACACACACAATCTCACACACACAATCTCACACAATCTCACACACACACACAATATCTCACACACAAACACACACAATCTCACACACAGGCACACAATCTCACACACAAAATCTCACAATCTCACACACAATCTCACGCACAATCTCACACGCACAATATCTCACGCACAATATCTCACACGCAATCTCCCACAATCTCGCACACACACACACACACAATCTCACACACAACTTCACGCACAACCTCACGCACAACCTCACGCACAACCTCACACACAATCTCACTCGCACACAATCACGCACACAATCTCACGCACACACACACAATCTCACGCACAAAATCTCACACACACAAACACACAATCTCACACGCGCACACTCACGCGCACAATCTCAGACACAATCTCAGACACAATCTCAGACACAATCTCAGACAATCTCAGACAATCTCAGACTACGACTCACCAGCTTAGCTCAACAGCGACTGGAATTCGTCCTACACCAGCCCTTCGCCACGTCTTTTATAGCGACAGCGGGCCCCGGACCGTGCATAGAGAGAGGTGGGCGGGAGAGGCCCCGGACCGTGCATAGAGTGGTGGGAGGATGCTCCGGACCGTGCATAGAGAGAGGAGGGGGGGAAGCCCCGGACCGTGCATAGAGAGGTGGGAGGAGGCCCCGGACCGTGCATAGAGAGAGGTGTGTGAGGGGAGGCCCCGGACCGTGCATAGAGAGAGGTTGGGGGGGGGCCCGGACCGTGCATAGAGAGGGTGGGGGGGAGGCCCCGGACCGTGCATAGAGAGAGGTGGTGGGGAGGCCCCGGACCGTGCATAGAGAGGTGGGGGGAGGCCCCGGACCGTGCATAGAGAGAGGTGTGTGAGGGGAGGCCCCCGACCATGCATAGAGAGAGGTTGGGGGGGAGGCCCCGGACCGTGCATAGAGAGAGGTGGAGGGGGGAGGCCCCGGACCGTGCATAGAGAGAGGTGGGGAAGAGGCCCCGGACCGTGCATAGAGAGAGGTGGTGGGGGGCCCAGACTGTGCATAGAAAGCGGTGGCGGGGGAGAAGATGCCCCGGACCGTGCATAGAGAGAGGTGGTGGGGGGGGAAGGCCCCGGACCGTGCATAGAGAGAGGTGGGGGGAGGCCCCGGACCGTGCATAGAGAGGTGGGGGGGAGGCCCCGGACCGTGCATAGAGAGAGGTGGGTGGGGGGCCTGGACCGTGCATAGAGAGAGGTGAGTGACCACGTGGTAAGGTTCACAGAGCCAGACTAAGACTCCCACAGGGTTCAGTGTTAATCACTGAGACTCACAGAGCCAGACTCAGGCTCCCACAGGGTTCAGTGTTAATCACTGAGACTCACAGAGCCAGACTAAGGCTCCCACAGGGTTCAGTGTTAATCACTGAGACTCACAGAGCCAGACTAAGACTCCCACAGGGTTCAGTGTTAATCACTGAGACTCACAGAGCCAGACTAAGGCTCCCACAGGGTTCAGTGTTAATCACTGAGACTCACAGAGCCAGACTAAGGCTCCCACAGGGTTCAGTGTTAATCACTGAGACTCACAGAGCCAGACTAAGGCTCCCACAGGGTTCAGTGTTAATCACTGAGACTCACAGAGCCAGAATGAGGCTCCCACAGGGTTCAGTGTTAATCACTGAGACTCACAGAGCCAGACTAAGGCTCCCACAGGGTTCAGTGTTAATCACTGAGACTCACAGAGCCAGACTAAGGCTCCCACAGGGTTCAGTGTTAATCACTGAGACTCACAGAGCCAGACTAAGGCTCCCACAGGGTTCAGTGTTAATCACTGAGACTCATAGAGCCAGACTGAGGCTCCCACAGGGTTCAGTGTTAATCACTGAGACTCACAGAGCCAGACTGAGGCTCCCACAGGGTTCAGTGTTAATTACTGAGACTCACAGAGCCAGACTAAGGCTCCCACAGGGTTCAGTGTTAATCACTGAGACTCACAGAGCCAGACTGAGGCTCCCACAGGGTTCAGTGTTAATCAATGCGACTCACAGAGCCAGACTCAGGCTCCCACAGGGTTCAGTGTTAATCACTGTGACTCACAGAGCCAGACTAAGGCTCCCACAGGGTTCAGTGTTAATCACTGAGACTCACAGAGCCAGACTAAGGCTCCCACAGGGTTCAGTGTTAATCACTGAGACTCACAGAGCCAGACTAAGGCTCCCACAGGGTTTAGTGTTAATCACTGAGACTCACAGAGCCAGACTAAGGCTCCCACAGGGTTCAGTGTTAATCACTGAGTCTGTGGGTCTCTATGTATGGGTCTCTATGTATCTATATGGGTCTCTACGTATCTCTATGGGACTGTATGTCTCACTGGGCCTCTATGTATGAGTCTCTATGTATCTATGTGGGTCTGTATGTATCTCTATGGGTCTGTATGTATGGGTCTCTATGTATCTCTATGAGTCTGTATGTATCTCTATCTCTATGGGTCTCTATGTATCTCTATGGGTCTGTATGTATCTCTATGGGTCTGTATGTATTGGTCTCTATGTATCTCTATGGGTCTGTATGTATGGGTCTCTATGTATCTCTATGGGTCTGTATGTATCTCTATGGGTCTCTATGTATCTCACTGGGTCTGTATGTATCTCTATGGATCGGTATGTATGGGTCTCTATGTATCTCTATGGGTCTGTATGTATATCTATCTCTATGGGTCTCTATGTATCTCTATGGGTCTGTATGTATCTCTATGGGTCTGTATGTTTGGGTCTCTATGTATCTCTATGGGTCTCTATGTATGTCTATGGGTCTCTATGTATCTCTATGGGTCTCTATGTATCTCTATGGGCCTCTATGTATCTCTATGGGTCTCTATGTATCTCTATGGGTCTCTATGTATCTCTATGGGTCTCTATGTATCTCTATGGGTCTCTGTGTATCTCTATTGGTCTCTATGTATCTCTATGTATATCTATGGATCTCTATGTATCTCTATGGGTCTGTATGTATAAACGATGGCTCTCTCTTCTTCTCCTGGGCGTTCTGTTGAAAACAAAGAGCTTTACGGCACATCGGATTCCCTCCTGTGCCAAATATAAATATTCCGATATTTTGAGTGTGGGGGGAAAATTCGGATGGATGCGTCACGTGTCGATTCCTTCCTATGGGCAGACACCGAAAGAATCGATGGTTCGATTTCGCAACATTTTTTTCATACTCTGAGGAATCGATTCGTGCGAGCGGGTGCCATGAGGAGCGCGAAACGCCGTCACGTGGGGGTCGGGGGAGCGGAGGGGGCGGAGGGGGCTGAGGAGGGGGCGGGGCCTCGTCTCGTGCTGGGAGTGGACGTGGGCACGAGTTCCGTGAAGGCGACCGTGCTGGATCCGAGCCGTACCCGAGCCGAGCCGCTCGCGAGCCGCGCTCGCCCGACCCGCGCCGACGTCGCGAGCCGCGAGGCGCCCGGTCACGTGGGTCCACCCCTCCCCCGCTTCCACCCCCCCCGCCCCGACCGGAAGCCCTCCCCCCTACTACCGGAAGCCCCTCCCCCAGCCTACACTGCTCATAGACTAACACTGCCCATAGACTAACACTCACGTAGACTAACACTCACGTAGACTAACACTCACATAGACTAACACTGTCCATAGACTAACACTCACATAGACTAACACTCACATAGACTAACACTCACATAGACTAACAGTCACGTAGACTAACACTGCCCATAGACTAACACTGCACATAGACTAACACTGCCCATAGACTAACACTGCCCATAGACTAACACTGCCCATAGACTAACACTCACATAGACTAACACTGCACATAGACTAACACTGCCCATAGACTAACACTGCCCATAGACTAACACTGCCCATAGACTAACACTCACATAGACTAACACTTACATAGACTAACACTGCCCATAGACTAACACTGCCCATAGACTAACACTCACATAGACTAACACTACCCATAGACTAACACTCACGTAGACTAACACTACACATAGACTAACACTCACGTAGACTAACACTCACGTAGACTAACACTCACATAGACTAACACTCACATAGACTAACACTCACGTAGACTAACACTCACATAGACTAACATTGCACATAGACTAACACTCACGTAGACTAACACTCACATAGACTAACATTGCACATAGACTAACACTGCCCATACACTAACACTCACGTAGACTAGCACTCACGTAGACTAACATTGCACATAGACTAACACTCACATAGACTAACACTGCCCATAGACTAACACTGCCCGTAGACTCAACACTGCCCATAGACTAACACTCACATAGACTAACACTGCACCATAGACTCAACACTGCCCATAGACTTACACTGCACCATAGACTCAACACTGCCCATAGACTAACACTCACATAGACTAACACTGCACCATAGACTCAACACTGCCCATAGACTTACACTGCACCATAGACTCAACACTGCCCATACACTCAACACTGCACCATCAACTAACACTGCCCATAGACTAACACTGCACATAGACTAACACTGCACATAGACTCACATTGCCCATCAACTAACACTGCACATAGACTAACACTGCACCATAGACTAACACTGCACCATAGACTAACACATAGACTCACACTGCACATCAACTAACACTGCCCATAGACTAACACATAGACTCAACACTACCCATAGACTATCACTACCCATAGACTAACACATAGACTCAACACTATCCATAGACTATCACTACCCATAGACTAACACTGCACGATCAACTAACACTGCCCATAGACTAACACATAGACTAACACTGCACCATAGACTAACACTGCACCATAGACTAACACATAGACTAACACATAGTCTAACACTGCACGTAGACTAACACATAGACTAACAAATAGACTAACACATAGTCTAACACTGCACGTAGACTAACACATAGACTAACACTTAGACTAACACTGCACCATAGACTAACACATACACTAACACATAGACTAACACATAGACTAACACTTACACTAACACTGCACCATAGACTAACACATAGACTAACACATAGTCTAACACTGCACGTAGACTAACACATAGACTAACACATAGACTAACACTGCACGTAGACTAACACATAGACTAACACTTAGACTAACACTGCATGTAGACTAACACATAGACTAACACTTAGACTAACACTGCACCATAGACTAACACATAGACTAACACATAGACTAACACATAGACTAACACTGCACGTAGACTAACACATAGACTAACACTTAGTCTAACACTGCACCATAGACTAACACATAGACTAACACATAGTCTAACACTGCATGTAGACTTACACATAGACTAACACATAGACTAACACTGCACGTAGACTAACACATAGACTAACACTTAGACTAACACTGCACCATAGACTAACACATAGACTAACACATAGACTAACACTGCACGTAGACTAACACATAGACTAACACTTAGACTAACACTGCACGTAGACTAACACATAGACTAACACTTAGACTAACACTGCACCATAGACTAACACATAGACTAACACATAGACTAACACATAGTCTAACACTGCACGTAGACTAACACATAGAGTAACACTTAGACTAACACTGCACCATAGACTAACACATAGACTAACACATAGACTAACACATAGACTAACACATAGTCTAACACTGCACGTAGACTAACACATAGTCTAACACTGCACGTAGACTAACACATAGACTAACACTGCCCATAGACTAACACATAGACTAACACATAGACTAACACATAGACTAACACTGCCCATACACTAACACATAGACTAACACTGCTCGTAGACTAACACATAGACTAACACTTAGTCTAACACTGCACCATAGACTAACACATAGACTAACACATAGACTAACACTGCCCATACACTAACACATAGTCTAACACTGCACGTAGACTAACACATAGACTAACACTTAGACTAACACTGCACCATAGACTAACACATAGACTAACACATAGACTAACACTGCACAGACTAATACATAGACTAACACTTAGACTAACACTGCACCATAGACTAACACATAGACTAACACATAGACTAACACTGCCCATACACTAACACATAGTCTAACACTGCACCATAGACTAACACATAGACTAACACTGCACCATAGACTAACACATAGACTAACACATAGACTAACACATAGACTAACACATAGACTAACACATAGTCTAACACTGCACCATAGACTAACACATAGACTAACACATAGACTAACACTGCACGTAGACTAACACATAGACTAACACTGCACCACAGACTAACACATAGACTAACACTGCACCATAGACTAACACATAGACTAACACATAGACTAACACATAGACTAACACATAGTCTAACACTGCACCATAGACTAACACATAGACTAACACATAGACTAACACATAGTCTAACACTGCACGTAGTCTAACACTGTGGCTGAGTGATCTCCTCCTCCTCCTCCTCCGTGCGTCTTTGCTGCGCAGGGCCGTGAGCAAGATGTGGGCCTCATCATGGCGGCGCTGGAGCAGTGCCTGCTGGAGCTGCCGGCGGGGCTGATCAGTCGCGTCGGCCTTGTCGGTGTCTCGGGCCAGATGCACGGCGTGGTACTCTGGCGGTCCGGCCAAGGTTCGCGCCCGCAACGTCGCCGCCGCGGGGGGCCGGGGGCGGGTGGGGCTGCTCCTGCGGCCCTGTTTTTTTTTTTGCTAGTCCGCGGGGGGGTCCCAGATGGGTCAGGTGTGACGTCGTTCCACACGGCTGCGTCTCGCCGGGGACTCGCTGGGACTTGGCTGGGTATCTCTGTGGGTCTCTGTGGGTCCTCTGTGTGTCTCTGTGGGTCCTCTGTGTGTCTCGCTGGGTCTCTGTGTATCTCTGTGGGTCTCTGTGTGTCTCTGTGGGTCCTCTGTGTGTCTCGCTGGGTCTCTGGGTATCTCTGTGTGTCTCTGTGGGTCTCTGTGGGTCCTCTGTGTGTCTCGCTGGGTCTCTGGGTATCTCTGTGGGTCTCTGTGCGTCTCTGTGGGTCTCTGTGGGTCCTCTGTGTGTCTCTATGGGTCTCTGTGTATCTCTGTGGGTCTCTGTGGGTCCTCTGTGTGTCCTCTGTGGGTCTCTGCTGGGTCCTCTGTGTGTCTCGCTGGGTCTCTGTGTATCTCTGTGGGTCTCTGTTTGTCTCTGTGTGTCTCTGTGGGTCCTCTGTGTGTCTCTATGGGTCTCTGTGTGTCTCTGTGGGTGTCTCTGTGGGTCTCTGTGGGTCCTCTGTGTGTCTCTGTGGGTCCTCTGTGTGTCTCGCTGGGTCTCTGTGTATCTCTGTGTGTCTCTGTGGGTCCTCTGTGTGTCTCTGTGGGTCCTCTGTGTGTCTCGCTGGGTCTCTGTGTATCTCTGTGGGTCTCTGTGGGTCCTCTGTGTGTCTCTGTGGGTCTCTGTGGGTCCTCTGTGTGTCTCGCTGGGTCTCTGTGTATCTCTGTGGGTCTCTGTTTGTCTCTGTGTGTCTCTGTGGGTCCTCTGTGTGTCTCTATGGGTCTCTGTGTGTCTCTGTGGGTGTCTCTGTGGGTATCTCTGTGTGTCTCTGTGGGTCCTCTGTGTGTCTCTGTGGGTCCTCTGTGTGTCTCGCTGGGTCTCTGGGTGTCTCTGTGGGTCTCTGTGGGTCCTCTGTGTGTCTCTGTGGGTCCTCTGTGTGTCTCGCTGGGTCTCTGTGTATCTCTGTGGGTCTCTGTGGGTCCTCTGTGTGTCTCTGTGTGTCTCTGTGGGTCCTCTGTGTGTCTCGCTGGGTCTCTGTCGGTCCTCTGTGTGTCTCTGTGTGTCTCTGTGGGTCCTCTGTGTGTCTCGCTGGGTCTCTGTGTATCTCTGTGGGTCTCTATATCTCTGTGGGTCTCTGTGGGTCTCTGTGTGTCTCTGTGGGTTCTCTGTGTGTCTCGCTGGGTCTCTGTGTATCTCTGTGGGTCTCTGTGCGTCTCTGTGGGTCTCTGTGGGTCTCTGTGTGTCTCTATGGGTCTCTGTGTATCTCTGTGGGTCTCTGTGGGTCCTCTGTGTGTCTCTGTGGGTCTCTGTGGGTCCTCTGTGTGTCTCGCTGGGTCTCTGTGTATCTCTGTGGGTCTCTGTTTGTCTCTGTGTGTCTCTGTGTGTCCTCTGTGTGTCTCGCTGTGTCTCTGTGTATCTCTGTGGGTCTCTGTTTGTCTCTGTGTGTCTCTGTGTATCTCTGTGGGTCTCTATGGGTCTCTGTGTGTTTCTGTGGGTCCCTGTGTGTCTCTGTGGGTCTCTGTGTGTCTCTGTGGGTCCTCTGTGTGTCTCGCTGGGTCTCTGGGTATCTCTGTGGGTCTCTGTGGGTCCTCTGTGGGTCTCTGTGGGTCTCTGTGTGTCTCTATGCGTCTCTGTGTGTCTCTGTGGGTGTCTCTGTGTGTCTCTGTGGGTCTCTGTGGGTCTCTGTGTGTCTCTGTGTATCTCTGTGGGTCTCTGTGGGTCCTCTGTGTGTCTCGCTGGGTCTCTGTGTATCTCTGTGGGTCTCTGTGCGTCTCTGTGGGTCTCTGTGTGTCTCTGTAGGTCTCTGTGTGTCTCTGTGTGTCTCTGTGGGTCTCTGTGTGTCTCTGTGTGTCTCTGTGTATCTCTGTGTGTCTCTGTGTATCTCTGTGGGTCTCTGTGTGTCTCTGTGTATCTCTGTGGGTCTCTGTGGGTCCTCTGTGTGTCTCTGTGGGTCTCTGTGGGTCCTCTGTGTGTCTCGCTGGGTCTCTGTGTATCTCTGTGGGTCTCTATTTGTCTCTGTGTGTCTCTGTGTGTCCTCTGTGTGTCTCTCTGGGTCTCTGTGTATCTCTGTGGGTCTCTGTTTGTCTCTGTGTGTCTCTGTGTATCTCTGTGGGTCTCTATGGGTCTCTGTGTGTTTCTGTGGGTCCCTGTGTGTCTCTGTGGGTCTCTGTGTGTCTCTGTGGGTCTCTGTGTGTCTCTGTGTATCTCTGTGTGTCTCTGTGGGTCTCTGTGGGTCTCTGTGGGTCCTCTGTGTGTCTCTGTGGGTCCTCTGTGTGTCTCTGTGGGTCTCTGTGGGTCTCTGTGTATCTCTGTGGGTCTCTGTGTCTCCGTGGGTCTCAATGTGTCTCTGTTGGTCCTCTGTGTGTCTCGCTGGGTTTCTGTGTGTCTCTATGGGTCTCTGTGTGTCTCTGTGGGTCCTCTGTGTGTCTCTGTGGGTCTCTGTGTGTCTCTGTGGGTCTCTGTGTGTCTCTGTGGGTCTCTGTGTATCTCTGTGGGTCTCTGTGTATCTCTGTGGCTCTGAACGTATCTCAATCGATGACTAAGTTGAGCTTGCGCTTGGCGTTTTAACTCAGGTTGGCGCTACCGTCCCTCCAAGCGAGAAGCCGCCGACGCCGACGCCGACGGCGGCTGTGCCGACGCCGCCGCCGGCTGTGCCGACGCCGCCGCCGCCGCCGCCGCCGACGCCGACGGCGGGCAGGGCGGAGCGGGCAGCTGGTTCGACGTGTCTGAGTGCTCGCGGCTCGTCACGTGGGAGGACGCCCGCTGCACCCCCGACTTCCTCTCCGCGCTGCCGGCGCCCCGACCGGGAGCCTGCGCCGTCGCCTCCGGCTACGGCTGCGCCACTCTCGTGTGGCTCGCCCGGCACGCGTGAGAGGGAGTCTCTCTCGCCCCCCACTCCCCACTTGTCGGGACTCCCCTGACTCACCCCTGTCGCTCGTTACCCGGCTCGAAAACCCGTGTCAGGCTGACTGACCTGTGCCGTCCGCCTCTTCGCCATATCCCGGAAGCGTTTGTCTGTTTGCGAACGTCCGAAGCCACGCGTGGAACGTTTGAACACTGGCCGCGGACGTGGGGGGGGGGAGGCTTGCCGCTCCTTTGTCGGGAGCTGAGTGCATTGCCGCCGGGGAACCCTGCGGAAGGCAGGCGGCCCGGTGGACTGGTTCGGGCTCCAGTCACCATGAGGGGTGGGTCAGGCCTCACCGCCGGGCGTTAAAAGCGCCAAACAACAACGAGGTGGCATTGCGTCTGGACCAAACAGTGAGTGCGCTGTGGGATTTTTGTCGGTGAGGCGTGGGAAGATGCGAGCCCCAGACTGTTGTGGGCTCGCCTCCCCGTTCACGGAAGGCGAAGAAGAGTGGTGGTGGTGGTGGCGGCGGTGGAGGCGGCTCACCGCTCCCACAAAAAAAAGTGAAGATAATTGGAGGGATGCATTTCAAGGCCGATGAGTCGGATGCCCTCTGTGACCTCCTGTCTCAGGTGCTGGCTAAGGTGGTCCCTCTGGAATCGGGTCATCCTATTTGGGTGACTTTAATGCCCGAGTGGGTCATGATGCTGGCACCTGGGCTGGCGTGATTGGAAGGCATGGGCCAGGTCAGCTCAACAACAACAACGGCAGGAGGCTGCTAGACTTCTGCGAAGTCCCATTGGGCTTGCAATTTGCCAATTGGGCTGTCCCGGCATCGGCGCATCCACACAACATCGTGGATGCTGGACTACGTAGTGACGGGACAGCAGATACGGGCCTGTGTACTTCACACCGGCTCGTACATTGGAGCTGAAATGCCCACGGACCATCGGCTTGTCATCCGTAAGATGCGCCTGCCATTCTTCCACTGTGATGGCAGGCATCCACCTAGGTCCCCATTCAAGCGTCCAGTGGCCTGGTCTTGGCCAGCTTGTGTAGGCTGCAAGCGGGAATATTATCGCTTGCAGCTGGGGGTTGGCATCGTCCCCCCTCCCTCCACCAATTCTCATTCGAAGGGGAAATGGGCGAGGTTCAAGACTGGGCCATGTGGCTGCTGTGGCTACGATGGGCATGCAGTCGAGACCTCCCCAAAGACCCTGGCCGATGGAGGAGCTGGCCCAGCTGGCTAAGAGAAAGCGACAGGCCCACGCCAACCATCTACAACATCTCACGTCGGAGAATGCGGAGGCTCAGCGGAGCCTTCGCTCGGAGGTTCGGAGCGCCCTGTGGCACTGGAAGGATGAGTGGTGGTCACAGGTTGCTGAGGAGATGGAAAATTCCGTTGTAGCTCACGAACCATTCTCTAATTCCATCAAAAAGATAACGTGCAGGGCCACACCTATTATCATACTGAAGGGAAAGTTGATGATCCGATCTCCAGCCCCCAGGAAAAGGTCTGCAGATTTTCTGAGCATTTCTGTGAGGTCTTGGTGGAGGATAAACACACACTGACACACACACACTGACACACACTGACACGCAACAACAACCGCCATTCACCACTAAGTGGCGGTGACGTCACCACGATGCTTGTGCCAGGCCATGTGCACCCTGAGGCCACGTGAAGTGTCGAACGCCCGGTGGCAGGAGGTCACAGGGCAGACCCAGGTGCCACGGGTCGACTGACTGAGATGACTGGCTGATGCACCACCTGTGCCCCCTACGGTGCCAACCTGCTGTGCTTTAGCCACCCGGCGCTCCGCTCGTTGTTTTGAGCGTCGCTCCTCCGACCTCCGTTGTTGTTGGAGGGCGACTACCTCCAACTGCCCAGTAGCGTCCTTCACGAGCCTCCTCCACAGAGGCCGATCTTGACACCGCTTGTACCAGTCATCGGCAAGTCCACTCAGCTCCACGTCCTCCTGTACCACATCACTCCATCTCTTCTCTAGTCCGTGCCGCGCCCGTTTAGCCCCCTCAATCCGGTCAAACAAAAGCTGTTTCGGCATGCGGTGGCTGGGCATGTGGGCTACATGACCGAGCCATCGCAGCCTTGCCCTCCGGAGGAGCTCACTGATGGGACCTTGCCCAGATCTTTCAAGGATTTGTGAGCTCCTCACACAATCCAGTCTGGTTAAACCCAGGATGGATCGTAGGCAGGCCAGCCTAAATGTTTCTAACCGGCAAAGATGTTCCATTAGGGGGGTCCATGTTTCGCAAGCGTAAAGAAGGGAGGGAATGACCATGGCCGAGAAGACCTGAAGCTTAGTGCAGAGCGACAGACCAGGTAGCTTCCACACAGCGTTACGTAACCGATGAAAAGATATTGCCGCTCGACTGATTCGGAGTGAAACCTCTGCTGTTAAACTGGAGCCGGTCTAACTGACACAAAGACAAATATCCCCCATATAGCCTGTAACAGACTGTAGGGGCAAGTGCTGTTAGCGAGCACCTATGAAGGCCGGAACGGTACACGAGGGGGTGGGTGGCCAGCACCACGCCCGGCCGCCTTTGTCTCCCCGGTGGCGATGTTTACACACCGCACCAGGTACTCATTTGAGGCTGAGTCGACTTAGGGGAGGCCCGGGACCAGTTCAGATAATCGTCACTGGTGTTGGCCGTGAGCGGGAATCGAACCCGGGTCGCCAGGTTCATAGCGTAGCGCGCTAACCGCTACACTATCGCTCCCCACAAACACACACTGACAAACACACTGACACACACACTAACACACACACACACACTGACACAAAGATAAAGACAAATATCCCCTGTATAGCCTTACCAGACTGTTGGGGCGAGTGCTGTTGGCGACACCTATTAAGGCCGGCACGGCACACGAGGTGGTGGGTGGTCAGCACCACGCCGGGCCGCCTTTGTCTCCCCGGTGGCGATGTTTACAAATCGCACCAGGTACTCATTTGAGGCTGAGTCGACCTAGGGGAGGCCCGGGACCGGTTCAGATTTATCGTCGCCGGTGTTGGCCGTGAGCGGGCATCCAACCCGGGTCGTGGTCAGGTTCGTGGCGCGGCGTGGCGCTAACCGTTGCACCGCCGCTCCCCACCCGTCAACGCAACGACCGCCACTAAGTGACGGTGACGTCGCCACGGCGCCAGGCGAGGTGCACCTTGAGGCTATCGCGTGGGGCGCCGAAGGCTCGCCGCCGGCAGGCGGTCACGGGGCAGGACCCAGCCGGGTGCCGTGGGGTCGACTGACCGAGACGACTTCCGGCTCACGCACCGACTGTTCCCCCGCCATCGTGCCAAATTGCGTCGCGAAAAACGCGCCTGGGCCAGGAGTCGAACCCCGGCTGTCGTGACCCCGCAGGCCCGGCGCGCTGCGGGACTACGACTGTGCGGGGACCGTGCAGGACCTGCTGGTGTCCGCGCTCTGCGACCTCCCGAGTCCCGTCATGACCGCTCACAACGCCGCCAGCTGGGGATACTTTGACGCGCAGGCTGGCGCCTGGGACATGGAGGGGTGAGGGCACTGCGCCACGGACTGCACCATTGAGTCAGCACCTCGCGTAGACTCAGCACTGCACCATAGACTCCACCCCACCAGAGACTAAACACTGCCCAAAGACTCAACACTGCACCATAGACTCCACTCCACCATAGACTCAACACTGCACCATAGATTCAGCACTGCACCATAGACTCAGCACTTCACCATTGAGTCAACACCTCCCATAGACTCAACACTGCCCATAGACTCAACACTGCACCATAGACTCAACACTGCACCACGGACTCAACACTGCACCATAGACTCAGCACTGCACCATAGACTCAGCACTGCCCATAGAGTCAACACTGCACCATAGACTCAACACTGCCCATAGACTCAACACTGCACCATAGACTCAACACTGCACCATAGACTCAACACTGCACCATTGACTCAGCACTGCACCGTAGACTCAACACTGCACCATTGAGTCAACACTGCCCATAGACTCAACACTGCACCATTGACTCAGCACTTCACCATAGACTCAACACTGCACCATTGAGTCAACACTGCACCATAGACTCAACACTGCACCATAGACTCAACACTGCACCATAGACTCAACACTGCACCATTGACTCAACACTGCACCATAGACTCAACACTGCACCATAGACTCAACACTGCACCGTAGACTCAACACTGCACCGTAGACTCAGCACTGCACCATAGACTCAGCACTTCACCATTGAGTCAACACCTCCCATAGACTCAACACTGCACCGTAGACTCAACACTGCACCATAGACTCAACACTGCACCACGGACTCAACACTGCACCATAGACTCAGCACTGCACCATAGACTCAACACTGCACCATAGACTCAGCACTGCACCATAGACTCAGCACTGCACCATAGACTCAACACTGCACCATAGACTCAGCACTGCACCATAGACTCAGCACTGCACCATAGACTCAGCACTTCACCATTGAGTCAACACCTCCCATAGACTCAACACTACCCATAGACTCAACACTGCACCACGGACTCAACACTGCCCATAGACTCAGCACTGCACCATAGACTCAGCACTGCACCATAGACTCAGCACTTCACCATTGAGTCAACACCTCCCATAGACTCAACACTGCACCGTAGACTCAACACTGCACCATTGACTCAGCACTTCACCATAGACTCAACACTGCACCATTGAGTCAACACTGCACCATCGACTCAACACTGCACCATAGACTCAACACTGCACCATAGACTCAACACTGTACCATTGACTCAGCACTTCACCATAGACTAAACACTGCACCATAGACTCAACACTGCACCACAGACTCAACACTGCACCATAGACTCAGCACTGCACCATAGACTCAGCACTGCACCATACACTCAGCACTGCACCATAGACTCAACACTGCACCATAGACTCAACACTGCACCATAGACTCAACACTGCACCATTGAGTCAACACTGCCCATAGACTCAACACTGCACCATTGACTCAGCACTTCACCATAGACTCAACACTGCACCACGGACTCAACACTTCACCGTAGACTCAGCACTGCACCGTAGACTCAACACTGCACCATAGACTCAACACTGCACCATAGACTCAACACTGCACCATAGACTCAACACTGCCCATAGAGTCAACACTGCACCATAGACTCAACACTGCACCGTAGACTCAGCACTGCACCGTAGACTCAACACTGCACCATAGCCTCAACACTGCACCATAGACTCAACACTGCACCATAGACTCAACACTGCACCATTGAGTCAACACTACCCATAGACTCAGCACTTCACCGTAGACTCAACCCTTCACCATAGACTCAACACTGCACCATAGACTCAACACTGCACCATAGACTCAACACTGCATCATAGACTCAACAATGCACCATAGACTAAACACTGCACCATAGACTCAACACTGCAACATAGACTCAGCACTGCACCATAGACTCAACACTGCACCATTGACTCAGCACTGCACCATAAACTCAACACTGCACCATAGACTCAACACTGCACCATAGACTCAGCACTGCACCATAGACTCAGCACTTCACCATAGACTCAACACTGCACCATAGACTCAACACTACGCCATTGAGTCAACACTGCCCATAGACTTAACACTTCACCATAGACTCAACATTGCCCATAGACTCAACATTGCACCATAGACTCAACACTACCCATAGACTCAACACTGCACCATAGACTCAACACTGCACCATAGACTCAGCACTGCACCATAGACTTAACACTACGCTATTGAGTCAACACTGTCCATAGACTCAACACTGCACCATAGACTCAGCACTGCACCATAGACTCAACACTGCACCATTGAGTCAAGACTGCCCATAGACTCAGCACTGCACCATAGACTCAATACTGCCCACAGACTCAACACTGCACCATAGACTCAACACTGCACCATAGACTCAACACTGCACCGTAGACTCAGCACTGCACCGTAGACTCAACACTGCACCATAGACTCAACACTGCACCATAGACTCAACACTGCACCATAGACTCAACACTGCCCATAGACTCAACACTGTACCATAGACTCAACACTGCACCATGGACTCAACACTGCACCATAGATTCAACACTGCACCATAGACTCAACACTGCACCATAGACTCAGCACTGCACCATAGACTCAACACTGCACCGTAGACTTAACTCTGCACCATAGACTCAACACTGCACCGTAGACTCAACACTGCACCGTAGACTCAACACTGCACCATAGACTCAACACTACCCATAGACTCAACACTGCACCATAGACTCAACGCTGCACCATAGACTCAACACTACCCATACACTCAACACTGCCACCCATAGACTCAGCACTACCCATAGACTCAACATTGCCACTCATAGACTCAACACTTCACCATAGACTCAACACTACCCATAGACTCAACACTTCACCATAGACTCAACACAACACCACAGACTCAACACTACCCATAGACTCAACACTGCACCATAGAATCAACACTGCACCATAGACTCTACACTGCACCATAGACTCAACACTGCACCATAGACTCAACACTGCACCATAGACTCAATACTGCACCATAGACTCAACACTACCCATAGACTCAATACTGCACCATAGACTCAACACTGCACCATAGACTCAACACTGCACCATAGACTCATCACTGCACCATAGACTCAACACTGCACCATAGACTCAACACAACACCATAGACTCAACACTACCCATAGACTGAACACTACCCACAGACTCAACACTGTACCATAGACTCAACACTACCCACAGACTCAACACTACCCACAGACTCAACAGTGCACCATAGACTCAACACTACACCACAGACTCAACACTACCCACAGACTCAACACTACCCACAGACTCAGCACTGCACCATAACCTCAACACTACCCATAGACTCAACACTTCACCATAGACTCAACACTGCCCATAGACTCAACACTGCACCATAGACTCAACACTACCCACAGACTCAACACAACACCACAGTCTCAACACTGCACCACAGACTCAACACTGCCACCCATAGACTCAGCCCTACCCATAGACTCAACACCAACCCACAGACTCAACACTGCCCACAGACTCAACACTGTACCATAGACTCAACACTACACCATAGACTCAACACTACCCACAGACTCAATACTGCACCATAATCTCAACACTACCCATAGACTCAACACTGCACCATAGACTCAACACTGCACCATAGACTCAACACTGCACCATAGACTAAACACTGCACCATAGACTCAACACTGTACCATAGACTCAACACTGTACCATAATCTCAACACTACCCATAGACTCAACACAACACCACAGTCTCAACACTGCACCATAGACTCAACACTGCACCATAACCTCAACACTGCACCATAGACTGAACACTGCACCATTGAGTCAACACTACCCATAGACTCAACACTGTACCATAGACTCAACAATACCCACAGACTCAACACTACCCACAGACTCAACACTGCACCATAACCTCAACACTACCCACAGACTCAACACAACACCACAGTCTCAACACTACCACCACAGTCTCAACACCAACCCACAGTCTCAACACTACCACCACAGTCTCAACACTACCACCACAGTCTCAACACTACCACCACAGTCTCAACACCAACACCACAGACTCAACACTACCACCACAGTCTCAACACTACCACCACAGTCTCAACACCAACACCACAGACTCAACACTACCACCACAGTCTCAACACTACCACCACAGTCTCAACACCAACCCACAGACTCAACACTACCACCACAGTCTCAACACTACCACCACAGTCTCAACACTACCACCACAGTCTCAACACTACCCATAGACTCAACACCAACCCACAGACTCAACACTACCCACAGTCTCAACACTACCACCACAGTCTCAACACAACACTACCACAGTCTCAACACTACCACCACAGTCTCAACACTACCACCACAGTCACAACACTACCACCACAGTCTCAACACTACCCACAGTCTCAACACTACCACCACAGTCTGAACACAACACCACAGACTCAACACTACCACCATAGTCTCAACACTACCACCACAGTCTCAACACAACACCACAGACTCAACACAACACCACAGACTCAACACTACCACCACAGTCTCAACACCAACCCACAGTCTCAACACTACCACCACAGTCTCAACACCAACACCACAGTCTCAACACTACCACCATAGTCTCAACACTACCACCACAGTCTCAACACAACACCACAGACTCAACACAACACCACAGACTCAACACTACCACCACAGTCTCAACACTACCACCAGAGTCTCAACACTACCACCACAGTCTCAACACAACACCCACAGACTCAACACTACCACCACAGTCTCAACACCAACACCACAGTTTCAACACTACCACCACAGTCTCAACACTGCACTACAGTCTCAACACTACCACCACAGTCTCAACACTACCACCACAGTCTTAACACAACACCACAGACTCAACACTACCACCACAGTCTCAACACTACCACCACAGTCTCAACACTACCACCACAGTCTCAACACTACCACCACAGACTCAACACCAACCCACAGACTCAACACTACCACCACAGACTCAACACTACCACCACAGTCTCAACACTACCACCACAGTCTCAACACAACACCACAGTCTCAACACTACCACCACAGTCTCAACACTACCACCACAGACTCAACACTACCACCACAGTCTCAACACTACCACCACAGTCTGAACACAACACCACAGACTCAACACAACACCACAGTCTCAACACTACCACCACAGTCTCAACACTACCACCACAGTCTCAACACTACCACCACAGTCTCAACACCAACCCACAGTCTCAACACAACACCACAGACTCAACACTACCACCACAGACTCAACACAACACCACAGACTCAACACTACCACCACAGTCTCAACACCAACACCACAGACTCAACACTACCACCACAGTCTCAACACAACACCACAGTCTCAACACCAACCCACAGTCTCAACACAACACCACAGTCTCAACACAACACCCACAGTCTCAACACAACACCACAGTCTCAACACAACACAACAGACTCAACACTACACCACAGTCTCAACACCAACACCACAGACTCAACACTACCACCACAGTCTCAACACTACCACCACAGTCTCAACACTACCACCACAGTCTCAACACTACACCATAGACTCAACACTACACCATAGACTCAACACTACCCATAGACTCAACACTACCCATAGACTCAACACTAACCATGGACTCAACACTGTACCATAGACTCAACACTACACCATAGACTCAACACTACCACCACAGTCTCAACACCAACACCACAGACTCAACACTACCACCACAGTTTCAACACTACCACCACAGTCTCAACACCAACACCACAGACTCAACACTACCACCACAGTCTCAACACCAACACCACAGTCTCAACACTACCACCACAGTCTCAACACAACACCACAGACTCAACACTACCCACAGACTGAACACTGTACCATAGACTCAACACTACACCATAGACTCAACACTACCCACAGGCTCAATACTGCACCATAACCTCAACACTACCACCACAGTCTCAACACAACACCACAGTCTCAACACAACACCACAGACTCAACACCAACCCACAGTCTCAACATTACCACCACAGTCTCAACACAACACCACAGTCTCAACACAACACCCACAGACTCAACACTACCACCACAGTCTCAACACAACACCACAGTCTCAACACTACCACCACAGTCTCAACACTACCACCACAGTCTCAACACTACCACCACAGTTTCAACACTACCACCACAGTCTCAACACTACACCACAGTCTCAACACTACCACCACAGTCTCAACACAACACCAACACCACAGTCTCAACACAACACCACAGTCTCAACACAACACCACAGACTCAACACCAACCCACAGTCTCAACACAACACCACAGTCTCAACACTACCACCACAGTCTCAACACAACACCACAGTCTCAACACTACCACCACAGTCTCAACACAACACCCACAGACTCAACACCAACACCACAGTCTCAACACTACCACCACAGTCTCAACACCAACCCACAGTCTCAACACAACACCACAGACTGAACACTGTACCATAGACTCAACACTACACCATAGACTCAACACTACCCACAGACTCAATACTGCACCATAATCTCAACACTACCACCACAGTCTCAACACTACCACCACAGTCTCAACACTACCACCACAGTCTCAACACAACACCACAGACTCAACACCAACCCACAGTCTCAACACTACCACCACAGTCTCAACACTACCACCACAGTCTCAACACAACACCCACAGACTCAACACCAACCCACAGTCTCAACACAACACCACAGTCTCAACACCAACACCACAGACTCAACACTACCACCACAGTCTCAACACTACCACCACAGTCTCAACACAACACCACAGTCTCAACACAACACTACCCACAGACTCAACACACTACCACCACAGACTCAACACTACCACCACAGTCTCAACACCAACCCACAGACTCAACACTACCCACAGACTGAACACTGTACCATAGACTCAACACTACACCATAGACTCAACACTACCCACAGGCTCAATACTGCACCATAACCTCAACACTACCACCACAGTCTCAACACTACCACCACAGTCTCAACACAACACCACAGACTCAACACCAACCCACAGTCTCAACATTACCACCACAGTCTCAACACAACACCACAGACTCAACACTACCCACAGTCTCAACACAAACCCACAGTCTCAACACTACCACCACAGTCTCAACACTACCCACAGACTGAACACTGTACCATAGACTCAACACAACACCACAGACTGAACACTGTACCATAGACTCAACACTACCCACAGGCTCAATACTGCACCATAACCTCAACACTACCACCACAGTCTCAACACTACCACCCACAGACTCAACACTACCACCCACAGTCTCAACACCAACCCACAGTCTCAACACAACACCACCCACAGTCTCAACACCAACCCACACTTCTGCTGCCCCACTCCGCACCGCGCCAGCCTGCGGCTAGCCCGCTTCCCCTCCCGGCCGCCGCTGCCTTCGCTCGTGCCTGTGGGCAGCGTGGCCGGCCGTACGTGCTCCGACCTCTGCGGCCTGCCCCGGGGTACCGAGGTCGGCGCGGCGCTGGGAGACCTGCAGGCTGCCGTCTACGGCTGCCTGGAGAGGCACACGGATGCCGGTAAGGGGGTCCGGGACTTGTTGGGGTGGGTAGGGTAGGGTGGGTAGGGTAGGGTGGAGGGGTCAGTGAGGGTTGTCACCCATAGAGACACATTGAAACCCATAGAGATACATAGAGACCCATAGAGACACATAGAGACCCATAGAGATACTTGGAGAGTTGTCACCCATAGAGACACATTGAAACCCATAGAGATACATAGAGACGCATAGAGACACATAGAGACCCATAGAGATACTTAGAGACGCATAGAGATACATAGAGACCCATAGACATACATAGATACCCATAGAGATACATAGAGATACACAGGGACCCATAGAGATACATAGAGACCCATAGAGATACATAGAGACCCATAGAGATACATTGAGACCCATAGAGACACATTGAGACCCATAGAGATACATAGAGACCCATAGAGATACATTGAGACCCATAGAGACACATTGAGACCCATAGAGATACATAGAGATCCATAGAGATACACAGAGACCCATAGAGACACATAGAGACCCATTAGAGATACACAGAGACCCATAGAGATACAAAGAGATACATAGAGACCCATAGAGATGCACAAAGACCCATAGAGCTACATAGAGACCCACAGAGATACATAGAGATGCATAGAGACCCATAGAGATACATAGAGACCCATAGAGATACATAGAGACCCATAGAGACACATTGAGACCCATAGAGATACATAGAGACCCATAGAGATGCAGAGACCCATAGAGATACACAGAGACCCATAGAGATACATAGAGACCCATAGAGATGCATAGAGACCCATATAGACACATAGAGATACACAGAGACCCATAGAGGTACACAGAGACCCATAGAGATACATAGAGACACAGAGATACATAGAGACCCATAGAGATACATAGATATACATAGAGACCCACATAGATACAGAGATACCCACAGAGATACATAGATACCCAGCGAGATACACAGAGACCCATAGAGATGCATGGAGACCCATTGAGATGCATAGAGACCCATAGAGATACATAGAGACCCATAGAGATGCATAGAGACCCATAGAGATACACAGAGTCCTATAGAGATACATAGAGACCCATAGAGATGCTTAGAGACCCATATAGACACATAGAGATACACAGAGACCCATAGAGGTACACAGAGACCCATAGAGATACATAGAGACCCATAGAGATACATAGAGATGCACAGAGATATATAGATACCCATTGAGATACGTAGAGGTACACAGAGACCCATAGAGATACATAGAGACCCATAGAGATACATAGAGACCCATAGAGATTCATAGAAATACATAGAGACCCACATAGATACAGAGATACCCACAGAGATACATAGATACCCAGCGAGATATACAGAGACCCATAGAGATGCATGGAGACCCATTGAGATACATAGAGACCCATAGAGATGCATAGAGATCCATAGAGATACATAGAGACCCATAGAGATGCATAGAGACCCATAGAGATACACAGATACCTATAGAGATACATAGAGACCCATAGAGATGCATAGAGACCCATATAGACACATAGAGATACACAGAGACCCATAGAGGTACAAAGAGACCCATAGAGATACATAGAGACCCATAGAGATACATAGAGATGCACAGAGATACATAGAGACCCATTGAGATACGTAGAGGTACACAGAGACCCATAGAGATACATAGAGACCCATAGAGATACATAGAGACCCATAGAGATTCATAGATATACATAGAGACCCACATAGATACATAGAGACCCAGCGAGATACACAGATACCCATAGAGATACATAGATATACATAGAGACCCACGTAGATACAGAGATACCCACAGAGATACATAGATACCCAGCGAGATACACAGAGACCCATAGAGATGCATGGAGACCCATAGATGAACACGACATTTGTTTGTATTGTTAGCAGGTGTAAGCCTCTACTGAGCTATGTGCTAGCTCCCATCCAGACGCGACACTGGGATATCACCAGTGGCAGCAGCTCAGCCTGAACGGCTTATCGGGTGGAACATTGATATCAGCAGCCAAGCACTCAAACCGTGTGACGTCGACTCCAAATGTGGAGGGATGAAACCCGAGGAACCGGGGAAAAATCGACGTCACCACAGGGAGAGAGACGCAGACTCCAAATCTACAGCAGCAGCAGCAGGCATCGTCAGGGTCGGGATCGAACTCCACGACCTCCTGCATACCAGGCGAGGTAGTCAACATCTCCTAGCCACCGTGATGATGATGATGAGAGAGAGAGAGAGACACAGACCTCCTGTACACCAGGCGAGGTAGTCAACATCTCCTAGACCACCGTGATGATGATGATGATGAGAGAGATACACAGACCTCCTGTACACCAGGCGAGGTAGTCAACATCTCCTAGACCACCGTGATGATGATGATGATGAGAGAGATACACAGACCTCCTGTACACCAGGCGATGTAGTCAACATCTCCTAGACCACCGTGGTGATGATGATGATGATGAGAGAGACACAGACCTCCTGTAGACCAGGCGAGGTAGTCAACATCTCCTAGACACCGTGTTGATGATGATGATGATGAGAGAGAGACGCAGACTCCAAATCTACAGCAGCAGCAGCAGGCATCGTCAGGGTCGGGATCGAACCCACGACCTCCTGCACACCAGGCGAGGTAGTCAACATCTCCTAGACACCGTGTTGATGATGATGATGAGAGAGAGAGAGACGCAGACTCCAAATCCACAGCGGCGGCAGCAGCAGGCGTCGTCAGGGTCGGGATCGAACCCACGACCTCCTGCACACCAGGCGAGGTAGTCACCATCTCCTAGACACCGTGTTGATGATGAGGAGAGAGACAGACCTCCTGTAGACCAGGCGAGGTAGTCAACATCTCCTAGACACCGTGTTGATGATGAGGAGAGAGAGAGACGCAGACTCCAAATCTACAGCAGCAGCAGCAGGCTTCGTCAGGGTTGCGATCGAACCCACGACCTCCTATAGACCAGGCGAGGTAGTCAACATCTTTTAGACACCACGATGATGATGATGAGAGAGAGAGACACAGACTCCAAATGTACAGCCGCAGCAGGCGTTTTCAGGGTCGGGATCGAGCCCACGACCTCCAGTATACCAGGCGAGGTAGTCAACATCTCCTAGACCACCGTGATGATGATGATGATGAGAGAGAGAGAGAGAGACACAGACCTCCTGTACACCAGGCGAGGTAGTCAACATCTCCTAGCCACCATGATGATGATGAGAGAGAGAGAGAGACACAGACTCCAAATCTACAGCAGTAGCAGCAGGCATCGTCAGGGTCGGGATCGAACCCACGACCTCCTGTATACCAGGCGAGGTAGTCAACATCTCCTAGACCACCGTGATGATGATGAGAGAGAGAGAGACACAGACTCCAAATCTACAGCAGCAGCAACAGCAGGCGTCATCAGGGTCGGGATCGAACCCACGACCTCCTGCATACCACAATAGGTTTTGCCCTTTCTGGCCATGATAAAACGGTTGGTGTTAAGATGTTAAAACACCAAACTTCTCATCACCTTAACACAGCTTGTTTCATGGTTGGCCAGAAAGGGAGAAACCTCTCCTTACATCTTGATACCGCCATAGTGACTCAATCGGAGAGGCACTGAGAGCTGGAGGCACTCGGCACGCGCCCACGTGACTTTACCCAATAGAACCAAAGAGTATGGATCCTAGCAGTCACGAAAGCTTCAAATCTAGAATGCGCCAGCGGGTTGAAACTTCCACAGAATCCGCCTGTAGTCCACTGTGGTTCCCAGTCAGGACAGCTGACACTCCAAACGACAGCCCCCCAGGGGAGGAGGAGGATGGGGGGGCGGACGGTGGTCCCCTCTTATGCTGCCACGCCCCCCTTCCTAGAACCTACCCGCGGGTTTCCCGGCGTTGCCCCCCTTTCCGTGACCTCACGACCTCCTCTTGATGCCAAGAGCCGGGACGGTCGCGTCTACGCGCAGCTTCCCGGCGGCTGGTTCCAACGGTCCGGAACGCCGTCCTCCTCCCCCCCGTGACATTCGCACAAGCGTCTCCGCGATCTTACTTTGGCTCTCTCGGTAAGGCCCCCACGCAGAACGAGAAATAGAAATAACGGAATCGATGAAATAAGGCGAGGCAATTCTCGCGACGTTTTTGGCCACAGCGCGGGTGGCCCTTCGTCAGGTGAAGGGGGCGAGACTGTCTGGGGCGGACGGCGCTGGAGCGAAATTAAAATGATAATTTGTCGTTTTATGCTCCATTCTACGTGGTTGGCGACTTCACCGAAAGAACCAAAGAAGATGAATCCTTGCAGTCACGAAGGCTTTCAATCGCAGCGTCTCCGCAGTCCGCGAATTTTGCGCGCGTTGTGAGTTTCATCGTTGTTATTGTAACGATCGTATTCTTGGTCCTTTCTGTAAAGTCACAATAAAATAATTAAAATGTTTTAAAAGCGTTAACCCCTTCTGTATATATATCTGTGTATCTCTACGTATCTCCAAGGGTCTCTGTGTATCTGTGTGTTTGTATGTATCTCTATGGGTCTCTGTGTATCTCTATGTATCTCTATGGGTCTCTATGCATCTATATGTATCTCTATGGATCTCTATGCATCTCTATGGGTCTCTGTGTATCTCTATGTATCTCTATGGGTCTCTGTGCATCTCTATGTATATCTATGGGTCTCTATGCATCTCTGTGGGTTTTTATGTATCTCTATGGGTCTCTATGTATCTCTACGTGTCTGTATGGGTCTCTATGCATCTCTGTGGGTTTGTATGTATCTCTATGGGTCTCTGTGTATCTCTACGTGTCTGTATGGGTCTCTATGCATCTCTGTGGGTTTGTATGTATCTCTATGGGTCTCTATGTATATCTACGTGTCTATATGGGTCTCTATGTTTATCTGTGGGTTGGTATGTATCTCTATGGGTCTCTGTGCATCTCTATGTGTCTATATGGGTCTCTATGCATCTCTGTGGGTTTGTATGTATCTCTATGGGTCTCTATGTATCTCTACGTGTCTATATGGGTCTCTATGTTTATCTGTGGGTTTGTATGTATCTCTATGGGTCTCTGTGTATCTCTACGTGTCTATATGGGTCTCTATGCATCTCTGTGGGTTTGTATGTATCTCCATGGGTCTCTATGTATCTCTGTGCATCTCTATGTATCTATATGGGTCTCTGTGCTTCTCTGTGGGTTTGTACATATCTCTATGGGTCTCTGTGTATCTCTATGTACCTCTATGGGTCTCTGTGTATCTCTATGTATCTCTATGGGTCTCTATGCATCTCTATGTATCTCTATGGGTCTCTGTGTATCTCTATGTATCTCTATGGGTCTCTGTGCATCTCTATGTATATCTATGGGTCTCTATGCATCTCTGTGGGTTTTTATGTATCTCTATGGGTCTCTATGTATATCTATGTGTCTATATGGGTCTCTATGTATATCTGTGGGTTTGTATGTATCTCTATGGGTCTCTATGTATCTCTGTGGGTCTCTATGTATCTCTATGGGTCTCTGTGTATCTCCGTGGGTTTTATTATTTCATTGTTTCCCTTCTACGTGGTGGTGACTTTACCGAAAGAACCGAGAATACGAATCCCTGCAGTCACGAACGCTTTAAATCAACAATTACAATTATCTTTAGATCCCCCCCTCTGGTGCATCGACTGGCCCGCTGCCGTCAGGGCTGCTGTAAGCTGCAGGTCCCCTTCCACTCGTCAGCAGCCAGCGTCGTGCTGCTACGTAGCCAATTCTACGTCACTGCAGTGGCAAGGGAGGTCCCATAATTGTAGCTGCTCAGCCCTCCGAGCTCTCAGTGTCCTGATAGTGGCGTTGTCCGTGTGCCGTTCGGCTTTTCGGCGCTGTCCTCTTTGTCCAACGCCGTTTGTCACCGGGCTCTAAAGAAAAGCCGTCCTCTGGTTCCGGACCGATCCGTTTCAAAGACAATGCACCGTCATATACCCCAGCCAGAGCCACGTGTTTTTTTTCTGTTTGTTTGCATGTTCACCACAAGCATACGTGGCGAACGCAGAGACACGATTCCTTGCAAGCGGTTTCAGTTTGGTGTTTTAGCATCTCAACACGGCTGTTTTATTATGGCAAGAAAAAGGGTGAAACCTTTCCTTGCGCAAAGGCAAAGATCCCCGGGTGCAGCCTTTTGAAAGGAATTTAAATGAGTACACTTTAAATCCTTTAACGAGGATCCATTTGGGGGGTGGGGGGCAAGTCTGGTGCCAGCGGCCGCGGTGATTCCAGCTCCAATAGCGAATATTGAAGCTGTTGCAGTTAACAAGCTCGTAGTTGGATCTTGGGAAAGGGGGGTATTGCGGTCCGCCGCGAGGTGCGTCACTGCCTGTCCCGGAACCCCCCGCCAACTCTCGGTGCTCCCCGGATGCTCTTGGTTGAGTGTCCTGCGGGGTTCCCGACCGTTTACTCTGAGAAATTTGGAGCGTTCAAAGCAGGCCGCCCGCCTGAATAGCGCAGCGGGGAATGAATGGAATAGGATTGAAAGCTTTCGTGACTGCAAGGATTCATCTTCTTTGGTTCTTTCGGTAAAGTCACCACCACCACCACCACGTAGAATGAGAATAAAATAATAAAATAACACGATAAAATTCTCACGACGTTTCAGGCCACAACGCAAGCGGCCTTCTTCAGGTGAAAGGTACAGACCTGTGAAAGGTACAGACCTGTAACCTTTCACCTGATTGAAGCTCTGTCGTCCCGACAGGTCTGTACCTTTCACCTGAAGACGGCCGCTTGCGTTGTGGCCCGAAACGTCGTGAGAATTTTATCGTGTTATTTTATTGTTTTATTCTCATTCTACGTGGTGGTGACTTTACCGAAAGAACCAAAGAAAATGGAATAGGACCTCGGTTCTATTTAGTTGGCTTTCGGAACAGAGGCCATGATTGAAGAGCGACTTGCCGGGGGCGTTCGTATTGTGCCGTTAGAGGCGTGTGATGGTGTGGGGAGCAGTGACGCGGTGGTTACCTGTACTGCATTTGGCCACGAACCTGGCGACCCGAGTTCGATACCCGCTCGCGTCCCGCCACTAGCGCCGGCTTTGGCAAGTGCCGAAGGCCGGCGCTCTGGCACGCGGGTGAGTTGACCCAGGGGAGGCCCAAGACCGCATGCGCTGTTCCATCACCATGTAGTCCAGCAGATGTTCTTGCTTGGACCCGGCGTGCATCCACGGTGTTGTGTGGATGCGCCGATGCCGGAACAGCGCAATAAGTCTAGCAGCCTCCCACCGTTGTTACTGAGATGATCTGGCCCATGCCCTCCAGTCACTCCTGACCAAGGTGCCAGCATCATGACCAACTCGGGCATTGAAGTCACCCAACAAGATGACTCTATCCCGAGGGGCCACTTTAGCTATCACCTGGGACAGGAGGTCATAGAAGGCATCTGACTCATCGGCCTTGCCTGTGTAACGTCAACTTGACACACTTCTCTTGAGGTGGCACTTTAATGAAGATACGTTGACACTTGACACCAGGCGGAGACCCCCACTGAAACAGCCCCGAGTCTCCCGCGCATCTCCCACTTATATATCAACACGAGGCCACGCCCCCCCTTCTCGATCATTCTCGCTGACTCTGGACGCTCGCTCCACCGGCAGACTCCACCGACCGACCTCTGCCCCGTCACCAGACCACGCTCCCTTCTCGAACATTCCCGTAGCCACCAGTCCCTTCGCACTCACAGCTGACTCCCCTGTCATTACCTCCTGTGGCCACCAGTCCCTTTGCATTCACAACTGACTCCCCTGTCATTACCTCCCGTGGCCACCAGTCCCTTCACTCTCACAACTGACTCCCCTGTTATTACGTCCCATAGCCACCAGTCCCTTCGCACTCATAACTGACTCCCCTGTCATTATTCCCCGTGGCCACCAGTCCCTTCGCACTCACAGCTGACTTCCGTATCATTACCTCCCGTAGCCACCAGTCCCTTCACACTCACAACTGACTCCCCTGTCATTACGTCCCATAGCCACCAGTCCCTTCGCACTCATAACTGACTCCCCTGTCATTACCTCCCGTAGCCACCAGTCCCTTCGCACTCACAACTGACTCCCCTGTCATTACCTCCCGTGGCCACCAGTCCCTTCGCACTCACAACTCACTCCCCTGTCATTACGTCCCGTGACCACTAGTGCATTCGTACTGTAAGCTGACCTCCCTGTCATTACATCCCGTGACCACCAGTCCCTTCACACTCACAGCTGACTCCCCTGTCATTACCTCCCGTGGCCACGAGTCCACTCACACCGCATGCAGGCTCTATTGTATCCCTCCACGGATGTTAATCTTCGGTGGAGGCATAAGCAACCACGACCACCACTCCTCGCCTCTTGTTGATGGGGAGGCGAGCCCACAGCAGCCTGGGGCTTACAGCTTCCCACACCTCACCGCCACGCTCCCACGCCCCCTTAATTATTCCGTTCAGAAGCAATTCCACTCGCTGTTGTTTGGAATTTTCCTGCCCCGAGTAGAGGACTGTCCACTCCTCATGGTGGCAGGAGCCAGAGCCGGTCCACCTGACCTCCCGAATACCCCAGAGATCCACGCGGTACCGGTCCAGCTCCCGACAGAGGAATTGCAGCCTCCCCTCCGCAGAGACATTCTGCGTGGTCTCTCTCACACACACACACACACACGCACCAAGACAAAGGTCCACCGTGTAGCCTTAACTGACTATCGGGGCAAGCGCTGTTAGCAAGCACCTGTGAAGTGGTGATGTTTACTACACACCGCACCAGGTACTCGAGGCTCAGTCGACCCAGGGGAGGCCCAGGACCGGTGCAGATAATCGTCACCGGCGTTGCACGTGGGCAGGAATCGCCACCGGGCCGCCAGGCTCATAGAGCAGTGTGCTAATCGCTGCACCACCGCTCCCCACACAACAACAACAACCGCCATTCGCCACTAAGTGGCGGTGACGTCACCACGGTGCTTGTGCCAGGATAGGTGCACGTTAAGGCCACGTGAAGTGTCGAACGCCCGCTCGCAGGTCACGCGACAGATGCTAGCTGGTGCCGTGGGTTGACCGCTGTGCCAGGCTAGGTGCAGGGGGAGGTCACATGACAGACCCAGCTGGTGCCGTGGGTTGATCGCTGTGCCAGGCTAGGTGCAGGAGGAGGTGATCACGGGACAGACCCAGCAGGTGGCATGGGTTGACTGCTGTGCCAGGCTAGGTGCAGGGGGAGGAGGTCACGGGACAGACCCAGCAGGTGCTGTGGGTTGATTGCTGTGCCAGGCTAGGTGCACTTGGAGGTCACGGGACAGACCCAGCAGGTGCCGTGGGTTGACTGCTGTGCCAGGCTAGGTGCAGGGGGAGGAGGTCACGGGACAGACCCAGCAGGTGCCATGGGTTGACTGCTGTGCCAGGCTAGGTGCATGAGAAGGTCACGGGGACAGACCCAGCAGGTGCCACGGGTTGACTGCTGTGCCAGGCTAGGTGCAGGGGGAGGAGGTCACGGGGACAGACCCAGCAGGTGCCAATCGACCGACTGAGGTGACTACTGGCCGATGCACCACCTGCGCCCCCCCCCCCCCATACTGTGCCAGGCTAGGTGCACGCTAAGGCCCCCGCGCGGAGTGACTCGTGCTCCCTCTCTCACACTCGCAGTCCTCAACATCGGCACGTCGGCGCAGCTGGCCTACGTCCTCCCGCCCGGCCTCCATCCTCCTCCTCCTCCTCATCCTCCTCCTCCTCCTCCTCGTCCTCCTCCTCCATCGTCGTCGTCATCGCTGACCGCCGACCGCCCACCTCCACACGCGGCTCCGGACGACTCCAACGCGGGCGGTTCCCCTTGGCCGTGCGGCGGCGGCGGTGGTGGTGGTGGTGGTGGCGGTGGCGGTGGCAGTGGTGGTGGCGGTGGTGGCAGTGGTGGCGGTGGTGTTGGTGATGGCGTGGTGAGGGACGTGCTCCCGTACGTTGGCGACCGGCGTCTGTGCGTCGCAGCGTCCCTCAATGGCGGCAACGTCCTCGCCATGTTCGTCGACACGCTGAGGTCGTGGGTCGCCGACCTCGGTACGCGACGCGCAAGCCAGGAGGACAACGCTGGCTACCGCCACCACTGACAACCACCACCACTGACAACCACCACCACTACTGACAACCACCACCACCGCTGACAACCACCACCACTGACAACCACCACCACTGACAACCACCACCACCACTACTGACAACCACCACCACCACTACTACTGACCACCACCACTGACCACCACTACTGACAACCACCACCACCACCACTGACAACCACCACCACTACTGACCACCACCACCACCACCACTACTAACAGTGACCCATAGACTAACACTGACCCATAGACTAACACTGGACCCATAGACTAACACTGGACCTATAGACCCACACTGAACCCATAGACTAACACTGACCCATAGACTAACACTGGACCCATAGACCCACACTGAACCCATAGACTAACACTGACCCATAGACTAACACTGGACCCATAGACCCACACTGAACCCATAGACTAACACTGAACCCATAGACCAACACTGGACCCATAGACTAACACTGGACCCATAGACTAACAATGGACCCATAGACCCACACTGAACCCATAGACTAACACTGACCCATAGACTAACACTGACCCATAGACTAACACTGAACCTAGATTTGAAGCTTTCGTGACTGCAAGGATCCATACTCTTTGGTTCTATTCGGTAAAGTCACGTAGGTAAAAAATAAAACAACAAAAATCACGACGTTTCGGCCACAACACAAGCTGCCTTCATCAGGTGAAGGGACCAGGCTGTCTCGAGGACAGCGCTGGAGTGAAACACAGCCAAGCTCAGACCGTGACCTTTAAGCTGTGTGAGAGTAATTAAGGTGCCTTGACAAAGGAATTAGCATAAAAAATTGCATTTTAATAGGCGGACTTAGCATGATGAAAGGTAGGGAGGGGGTTGACCTGTGCAGGCTGGCGAGGGGACACGGCAGCGTCCACATGCTGGTGGTGTGAAAAGGGGATTTTAAGAAGCTGCAAAAGTTTGGGGTACCACTACTTGAAAAAATATACTGTACCATTGACAAACTAGGTTAATGTTTGGTTCGATTTAGAACATCTTTCCAATGGTTGCTTAATTTGAAACCATCTTCTCGGTTGAAATTGTGTTTGTGTTTGTAGATCTGAATTGCCTCGTGAACAAATCTCTGATAAAAACCCGTGGGTTTGCAAAGTACCTTGGTATCGGAGAAAATTATATCGTGATCACCCACAGCGTTGTAACAGTGATCAGCTACGGCAGAAGAATTCGTTCTGCCGTGTTTCAAATCTGATTTGTGCTCGCGAATTCGGTCAGAGACATGTCGCTTCGTCTCCCCGATATAGCAATCACCGCAGGTACAACTCAATTTGTAAACCCCGGGGTACTGTAAGTCAGGAATGACATCCTTCACGGATGGGATCAGATCACGAATTTTGCGTGCAGTATTGAACCGGACCTGGATCTTGTGTTTGTTTAGAATTTTGGAAATCTTTTTAGTAACACCTGCTATATATGAGGGTACTTCCATGGGTTCCCCCTTGTCACCAGTGATAGCCAATGTTTTCATGGAGAAATTTGAATCGGACGCCATCCAGACTTCCACCCTCAGACCTTCCCTGTGGAAGAGATATGTGGATGACACTTTCGTCATTTGGCCACATGGCCTCTCAGCTCTGAACCTTTTCCTACACCACATCAATTCCAGACATCCCGCCATCAAATTCACCATGGAAGTGGAGAAATATGGCAGGCTACCATTCTTGGATGTTCTGTTTAAGAGGAGACCTGATGGCTCGTTGGGGCATTCTGTCTACAGGAAACCCACCCACACCGATTCCTACTTGAAGCCTGATTCCCACCACCACCCAGCTCAGAAGAATTCTCTCATCAAAACGGTATACCATAGGGCTCATTGCATTTCGGACCAACACCACCTGACCAGTGAATTAAAACATGTACACCTGGCCCTCAAAAGGAATGGATACTCTGACCGTACCATCCGCCAAGCTGTTTCTCCCTCCATACAGAAACAACCACTTGATACTCCGGTCAAAACCATCACACTACCATATATAGCAGGCGTTACTAAAAAGATTTCCAAAATTCTAAACAAACACAAGATCCAGGTCCGGTTCAATACAGTACACAAAATTTGTGATCTGATCCCATCCGTGAAGGATGTCATTCCTGATTTACAGTACCCCGGGGTTTACAAATTGAGTTGTACCTGCGGTGATTGCTATATCGGGGAGACGAAGCGACATGTCTCTGACCGAATTTGCGAGCAAAAATCAGATTTGAAACACGGCAGAACGAATTCTTCTGCCGTAGCTGATCACTGTTACAACGCTGTGGGTGATCACGATATAATTTTCTCCGATACCAAGGTTCTTTGCAAACCCACGGGTTTTTATCAGAGATTTGTTCACGAGGCAATTCAGATCTACAAACACAGACGCAATTTCAACCGAGAAGATGGTTTCAAATTAAGCAACCATTGGAAAGATGTTCTAAATCGAACCAAACATTAAACTAGTTTGTCAATGGTACAGTATCTTTTTTCAAGTAATGGTACCCCAAATTTTCGCAGATTCTTAAAATCCCCTTTTCACACCACCAGCATGTGGACGCTGCCGTGCCCCCTCGCCAGCCTACACAGGTCAACTCCTCCCCACCTTTCATCATGCTAAGTCCGACCATAAAAATGCAATTTTTTTATGCTAATTCCTTTGTCAAGGCACCTTAATTACTCTCACACAGCTTAAAGGTCGCGGTCTGAGCTTGGCTGTGTTCACTCCAGCGCTGTCCTCGAGACAGTCTGGTCCCTTCACCTGATGAAGGCCGCTTGTGTTGTGGCCGAAACATCGTGATTTTTGTTGTTTTATTTTTTACCTACGTGGTGACTTTACCGAATAGAACCAAAGAGTAACACTGAACCCATAGACCAACACTGGACCCATAGACTAACACTGGACCCATAGACTAACACTGGCCCATAGACTACCACTGGACCCATAGACCAACACTGGACCCATAGACTAACACTGACCCATAGACTAACACTGGACCCATAGACTAACACTGGACCCATAGACTAACACTGACCCATAGACTAACACTGACCCATAGACTAACACTGACCCATAGACTAACACTGGACCCATAGACCAACACTGACCTATAGACCAACACTGAACCCATAGACTAACACTGGACCCATAGACTAACACTGGACCCATAGACCCACACTGAACCCATAGGCTAGCACTGACCCATAGACTAACACTGACCCATAGACTAACACTGACCCATAGACTAACACTGACCCATAGACTAACACTGACCCATAGACTAACACTGGACCCATAGACCAACACTGGACCCATAGACTAACACTGACCCATAGACTAACACTGACCCATAGACTCACACTGGACCCATAGACCAACACTGGACCCATAGACTAACACTGACCCACAGACTAACACTGACCCATAGACTAACACTGACCCATAGACTAACACTGGCCCATAGACTAACACTGACCCATAGACTAACACTGGACCCATAGACTCACACTGGACCCATAGACCAACACTGACCCACAGACTAACACTGACCCACAGACTAACACTGGACCCATAGACTCACACTGACCCATAGACTAACACTGACCCATAGACTAACACTGAACCCATAGACTAACACTGACCCACAGACTAACACTGGACCCATAGACTCACACTGGACCCATAGACTAACACTGACCCATAGACCAACACTGGACCCATAGACTCACACTGGACCCATAGACTAACACTGAACCCATAGACTAACACTGGACCCATAGACTCACACTGGACCCATAGACTAACACTGAACCCATAGACCAACACTGGACCCATAGACTAACACTGGACCCATAGACTCACACTGGACCCATAGACCAACACTGGACCCATAGACTAACACTGACCCATAGACTAACACTGGACCCATAGACTAACACTGACCCATAGACCAACACTGGACCCATAGACTAACACTGACCCATAGACTAACACTGACCCATAGACTAACACTGGACCCATAGACTAACACTGGACCCATAGACTAACACTGACCCATAGACCAACACTGAACCCATAGACTAACACTGGACCCATAGACCAACACTGGACCCATAGACTAACACTGACCCATAGACTAACACTGACCCATAGACCAACACTGAACCCATAGACTAACACTGGACCCATAGACCAACACTGACCCATAGACTAACACTGGACCCATAGACCAACACTGGACCCATAGACTAACACTGAACCATAGACTAACACTGACCCATAGACCAACACTGGACCCATAGACCAACACTGACCCACAGACCAACACTGGACCCATAGACTAACACTGAACCCATAGACCAACACTGGACCCATAGACTAACACTGGACCCATAGACTAACACTGGACCCATAGACTAACACTGACCCATAGACTAACACTGACCCATAGACCAACACTGGACCCATAGACTAACACTGACCCATAGACTAACACTGACCCATAGACTAACACTGACCCATAGACTAACACTGACCCATAGACTAACACTGACCCATAGACCAACACTGACCCACAGACCAACACTGGACCCATAGACCAACACTGGACCCATAGACTAACACTGGACCCATAGACTCACACTGGACCCATAGACTCACACTGGACCCATAGACTCACACTGGACCCATAGACTCACACTGGACCCATAGACTCACACTGGACCCATAGACCAACACTGGACCCATAGACTAACACTGGACCCATAGACCAACACTGGACCCATAGACTAACACTGACCCACAGACCAACACTGGACCCATAGACTAACACTGGACCCATAGACTAACACTGGACCCATAGACTAACACTGACCCATAGACTAACACTGGACCCACAGACTAACACTGGACCCATAGACTAACACTGACCCATAGACCAACACTGGACCCATAGACTAACACTGACCCATAGACCAACACTGGACCCATAGACTAACACTGACCCATAGACTAACACTGGACCCATAGACTAACACTGACCCATAGACTAACACTGGACCCATAGACCAACACTGGACCCATAGACTAACACTGACCCATAGACTAACACTGACCCATAGACCAACACTGGACCCATAGACTAACACTGACCCATAGACTAACACTGGACCCATAGACTAACACTGGACCCATAGACTCACACTGGACCCATAGACTAACACTGACCCATAGACCAACACTGACCCACAGACTAACACTGGACCCATAGACTCACACTGGACCCATAGACCAACACTGACCCACAGACTAACACTGACCCATAGACTAACACTGGACCCATAGACTAACACTGACCCATAGACTAACACTGGACCCATAGACTCACACTGGACCCATAGACTAACACTGAACCCATAGACCAACACTGGACCCATAGACTCACACTGGACCCATAGACTAACACTGGACCCATAGACTCACACTGGACCCATAGACTAACACTGAACCCATAGACCAACACTGGACCCATAGACTCACACTGGACCCATAGACCAACACTGGACCCATAGACCAACACTGGACCCATAGACCAACACTGGACCCATAGACTAACACTGACCCATAGACCAATACTGGACCCATAGACTAAGAGTGACCCATAGACCAACACTGACCCACAGACTAACACTGGACCCACAGACTCACACTGACCCATAGACTCACACTGGACCCATAGACTCACACTGACCCACAGACCAACGCTGGCACCGCCAGATCCGTGTACGCGAGAGAGACCGTGAATCCTCTCTCTCGGCTACATCGCATCGCCCTCCTTGCCGCGTTGTTTCAGGCCTCGAGCCTCCAGCAGCAGACGACCTCTACGTGACCCTCAACCGTCTGGCCAGCGCCATTGAGGACGAACCGGAGCCTCCTCCGGACCTTCCTCCGGATCTTACGGTCCGCCCCGGCGCTCCACACGGCAAGCAGGAAACTCCGACTCCGGATCCGGATCCCTCGATCCGCCCCGGCGCTCCACACGGCAAGGAGGAAACTCCGGCTCCGGATCCGGATCTTACGGTCCGCCCCGGCGCTCCACACGGCAAGCAGGAAACTCCGGCTCCGGATCCGGATCCCTCGATCTGCCCCGGCGCTCCACCCGGCAAGCAGGAAACTCCGGATCCAGATCCATCGATCCGCCCCGGCGCTCCACCCGGCAAGCAGGAAACTCCGGCTCCAGATCCATCGATCCGCACCGGCGCTCCACCCGGCAGTCAGGAGACTCCGGCTCCAACAACCCGGGCTCCGGCCGGGGCTCCGACTCCTCCGGCTCCGGCTCCGGCTCCCCGCCTCGCGATCCGCCCCACGGTGTTCGGCGAGCGTGGCTCCCCGGCGTGGCCGGGCGGCGTCGTGTCGCTGAGCGGCGTCGCCGTTCCGGGCCCTCGCCTGGGACGCGTCTGGCGCTCGCTCTGCCGCGGCCTCGTCGAGAACCTGGCCGGGACGGGGGTCGGGAGGTGCCGGGGCGGGGGCCTCCCGCCGTTGCCACCGGGGACGGAGCGGGTGCTGGCCGGGGGCTCGGCGCTGCTGAGGAACTCGACGCTGGCGCGGGAGGCGGCGAGGGCCCTGGGGACGCCGGCCGTGGAGGCGACGCCGACGGTCGACTCGGCCGTGGGCAGCGCCAGGCTGCTGTGGGACGTCAGCGGGGCTGGGGGCGGGGCCTGGGGGGCGGAAGCTTCTGATTGGTCGAGACGGTGATTTTTGCGCCTGATTGGTCGAGACGGAGATTTTTGCGCCTGATTGGTCGAGACGGAGATTTTTAAGCCTGATTGGTCGAGACGGTGATTTTTGCGCCTGATTGGTCGAGACGGTGATTTTTCTCCTGATTGGTCGAGACGGTGAGTTTTCACTTGATTGGTCGAGATGGTGATTTTTCACTTGATTGGTCGAGTTGATGATTTTTCACTTGATTGGTCGAGATGGTGATTTTTCACTTGATTGGTCGAGTTGATGATTTTTCTCCTGATTGGTCGAGATGATGATTTTTGCACGTGATTGGTCGAGACGGAGATTTTTGCGCCTGATTGGTCGAGACGGTGATTTTTGCGCCTGATTGGTCGAGACGGTGATTTTTCTCCTGATTGGTCGAGACGGTGAGTTTTCACTTGATTGGTCGAGACGGTGATTTTTGCGCCTGATTGGTCGAGACGGTGATTTTTCACTTGATTGGCCGAGTTGATGATTTTTCTCCTGATTGGTCGAGATGATGATTTTGGTTGAGATGATGATTTTTGCGCCTGATTGGTCGAGTTGATGATTTTTCACTTGATTGGTCGAGACGGTGATTTTTGCGCGTGATTGGTCGAGACGGTGATTTTTCACTTGCTTTGTCGAGTTGATGATTTTTCTCCTGATTGGTCGAGTTGATGATTTTGCTACTGATTGGTCGAGACGATTCTTCTCCTGATTGGTCAAGAAGATGCTGATTGGTCAAGAGGATGAAAGATGATGATGATGATTTTGCGACTGATTGGTCGAGTTGATGAATTTGCGACTGATTGGTCGAGACGGTGATTTTTCGCTTGATTGGTCGAGTTGATGATTTTTCTCCTGATTGGTCGAGATGATGATTTTGGTCGAGATGATGATTTTTGCGCCTGATTGGTCGAGACAGTGATTTCTCAATTGATTGGTCGAGTTGATGATTTTTCACTTGATTGGTCGAGTTGATGATTTTTGCGCCTGATTGGTCGAGATGATGATTTTGCGCGTGATTGGTCGAGACGGTGATTTTTGCGCGTGATTGGTCGAGACGGTGATTTTTCACTTGATTGGTCGAGTTGATGATTTTTCTCCTGATTGGTCGAGATGATGATTTTGCGCGTGATTGGTCGAGACGGTGATTTTTCACTTGATTGGTCGAGTTGATGATTTTGCTGTTGATTGGTAGAGATTATTAATTTGTGACTGATTGGTCGAGACGGTGATTTTTCACTTGATTGGTCGAGTTGATGATTTTTCACTTGATTGGTCGAGTTGATGTTTTTTCTCCTGATTGGTCGAGACGATGATTTTGTGCCTGATTGGTCGAGTTGATGATTTTGCGCCTAATTGGTCGAGATGGTGATTTTGTGCCGGATTGGTCGAGACGATTTTTCTCCTGATTGGTCAAGAGGATGCTGATTGGTCAAGAGGACGGTGATTGGTCAAGAGGATGAAAGATGATGATGATTTTGCTCCTGATTGGTGGAGATGATGAATTTGCGACTGATTGGTCGAGACGGTGATTTTTGCGCGTGATTGGTCGAGACGGTGATTTTTGCACCTGATTGGTCGAGACGATGATTTTTCACTTGATTGGTCGAGTTGATGATTTTTCACTTGATTGCTCCTGATTGGTCGAGATGATGATTTTGCGCGGGATTGGTCGAGATGATGATTTTGCACCTGATTGGTCGAGTTGATTATTTTTCTCCTGATTGATCAAGAGGACGCTGATTGGTCAAGAGGACGCTGATTGGTCAAGAGGATGAAAGATAATGATGATGATTTTGCTCCTTATTGGTTAAAATGATGATATTACTTCTGATTGGACAAAATGATGATGGTTTTTCTCCTGATTGGTCGCGATTAAATGATTTCGCTCCAGTGGCAACGGCCTCTGATTGGTCGAGAGGAGGATGATTTTGGCCTGAGCTTATCTGCTGAGCAGTCGAGCGAGCTGATTGGCTATCCAGGCTGTCAACCGGTTGATCGCGCGAGCGAACGGTCAGATGATGTCCAATTCAGTCGTCCCCCCTCTCTGTCTGTCTCTCCTAGTCACCCTCTCTCTCTGTGTGTCTCTACGAGTCGTCCTTTCTCTGTCTCGCTCTCTGAGTCTCTACGAGTCGTCCTTTCTCTGTATCTCTCTCTGAGTCACCCTCTCTCTCTCTGTCTCTCTGAGTCGTCCTTTCTCTGTTTCGCTCTCTGAGTCTCTACGAGTCGTCCTTTATCTGTTTCTCTCTCTGAGTCACCCTCTTTCTCTCTGTCTCTCTCTCTCTGAGTCGTCCTTTCTCTGTATCTCTCTCTGAGTCACCCTCTCTCTCTCTGTCTCTCTCTCTGAGTCGTCATTTCTCTGTCTCTCTCTCTGAGTCACCCTCTCTCTGTCTCTCTCTCTGAGTCGTCCTTTCTCTGTCTCTCTCTCTGAGTCACCCTCTCTCTCTGTGTCTCTACGAGTCGTCCTTTCTCTGTCTCTCTCCGACTCGTCCTCTCTCTCTGTGTGTCTCTATGAGTCGTCCTTTCTCTGTCTCTCTCTCTGAGTCACCCTCTCTCTCTCTCTGTGTCTCTATGAGTCGTCCTTTGTCTCTCTCTCTGAGTTTCTCTGAGTCGTCCTTTGTCTCTCTCTCTCTGAGTCACCCTCTCTCTCTGTCTCTCTCTCTGAGTCGTCCTTTCTCTGTCTCTCTCTGTCTCTCTCTCTGAGTCACCCTCTCTCTCTCTCTGTCTCTCTCTCTGAGTCACCCTCTCTCTCTGTGTCTTTACGAGTCGTCCTTTCTCTGTCTCTCTCTGAGTCACCCTCTCTCTCTCTGTATCTCTCTCTGAGTCACCCTCTCTCTCTCTGTGTCTCTACGAGTCGTCCTTTCTCTCTCTCTGAGTCGTCCACTCTCTCTGTGTCTCTATGAGTCAACCTTTCTCTGTCTCTCTCTACTAGTCGTCCTTTATCTGTCTCTCTCTGAGTCACCCTCTCTCTCTGTGTCTTCATGAGTCGTCCTTTCTCTGTTTCTCTCTCTCTGAGTCACCCTCTCTCTCTGTCTCTCTCTCTGAGTCACCCTCTCTCTCTCTGTGTCTCTATGAGTCGTCCTTTCTCTGTCTCTCTCTCTGAGTCACCCTCTCTCTCTGTGTCTCTATTAGTCGTCCTTTCTCTGTATCTCTCTCTGAGTCACCCTTTCTCTGTCTCTCTCTCTGAGTCGTCCTTTCTCTGTCTCTCTCTGAGTCACCCTCTCTCTCTGTGTCTTCATGAGTCGTCCTTTCTCTGTCTCTCTCTCTCTCTCTCTCTGAGTCACCCTCTCTCTCTGTCTCTCTCTCTCTGAGTCACCCTCTCTCTCTGTCTCTCTCTCTGAGTCACTCTCTCTCTCTCTGTGTCTCTACGAGTCGTCCTTTCTCTGTCTCGCTCTCTGAGTCTCTACGAGTCGTCCTTTCTCTGTATCTCTCTCTGAGTCACCCTCTCTCTCTCTGTCTCTCTGAGTCGTCCTTTCTCTGTTTCGCTCTCTGAGTCTCTACGAGTCGTCCTTTATCTGTCTCTCTCTCTGAGTCACCCTCTTTCTCTCTGTCTCTCTCTCTCTCTGAGTCGTCCTTTCTCTGTATCTCTCTCTGAGTCACCCTCTCTCTCTCTGTCTCTCTCTCTGAGTCGTCATTTCTCTGTCTCTCTCTCTGAGTCACCCTCTCTCTGTCTCTCTCTCTGAGTCGTCCTTTCTCTGTCTCTCTCTCTGAGTCACCCTCTCTCTCTGTGTCTCTACGAGTCGTCCTTTCTCTGTCTCTCTCCGACTCGTCCTCTCTCTCTGTGTGTCTCTATGAGTCGTCCTTTCTCTGTCTCTCTCTCTGAGTCACCCTCTCTCTCTCTTTGTCTCTACGAGTCGTCCTTTCTCTGTCTCTCTCTGAGTCACCCTCTCTCTCTCTGTGTCTCTATGAGTCGTCCTTTCTCTCTCTCTGAGTTTCTCTGAGTCGTCCTTTGTCTCTCTCTCTGAGTCACCCTCTCTCTCTGTCTCTCTCTCTCTGAGTCGTCCTTTCTCTGTCTCTCTCTGTCTCTCTCTCTGAGTCACCCTCTCTCTCTCTGTCTCTCTCTCTGAGTCACCCTCTCTCTCTGTGTCTTTACGAGTCGTCCTTTCTCTGTCTCTCTCTCTGAGTCACCCTCTCTCTCTGTATCTCTCTCTGAGTCACCCTCTCTCTCTCTGTGTCTCTACGAGTCGTCGTTTCTCTCTCTCTGAGTCGTCCACTCTCTCTGTGTCTCTATGAGTCAACCTTTCTCTGTCTCTCTCTACTAGTCGTCCTTTCTCTGTCTCTCTCTCTGAGTCACCCTCTCTCTCTGTGTCTTCATGAGTCGTCCTTTCTCTGTTTCTCTCTCTCTGAGTCACCCTCTCTCTCTGTCTCTCTCTCTGAGTCACCCTCTCTCTCTCTGTGTCTCTATGAGTCGTCCTTTCTCTGTCTCTCTCTCTGAGTCACCCTCTCTCTCTGTGTCTCTATGAGTCGTCCTTTCTCTGTCTCTCTCTTTGAGTCACCCTTTCTCTGTCTCTCTCTCTGAGTCGTCCTTTCTCTGTCTCTCTCTGAGTCACCCTCTCTCTCTGTGTCTTCATGAGTCGTCCTTTCTCTGTCTCTCTCTCTCTCTCTCTGAGTCACCCTCTCTCTCTGTCTCTCTCTCTCTGAGTCACCCTCTCTCTCTGTCTCTCTCTCTGAGTCACCCTCTCTCTCTCTGTGTCTCTATGAGTCGTCCTTTCTCTGTCTTTCTCTCTGAGTCACCCTCTCTCTCTGTGTCTCTATGAGTCGTCCTTTCTCTGTCTCTCTGAGTCACCCTCTCTCTCTGAGTCTCTACGAGTCGTCCTTTCTCTGCCTCTCTCTCTGAGTCACCCTCTCTCTCTGTGTCTCTACGAGTCGTCCTTTCTCTGTCTCTCTCTCTGAGTCACCCTCTCTCTCTCTCTTTGTCTCTATGAGTCGTCCTTTCTCTGTCCCTCTCTCTGAGTCACCCTCTCTCTCTGTGTCTCTACGAGTCGTCCTTTCTCTGTCTCTCTCCGACTCGTCCTCTCTCTCTGTGTGTCTCTATGAGTCGTCCTTTCTCTGTCTCTCTCTCTGAGTCACCCTCTCTCTCTCTTTGTCTCTACGAGTCGTCCTTTCTCTGTCTCTCTCTGAGTCACCCTCTCTCTCTCTCTGTGTCTCTATGAGTCGTCCTTTGTCTCTCTCTCTGAGTTTCTCTGAGTCGTCCTTTGTCTCTCTCTCTCTGAGTCACCCTCTCTCTCTGTCTCTCTCTCTGAGTCGTCCTTTCTCTGTCTCTCTCTGTCTCTCTCTGAGTCACCCTCTCTCTCTCTGTCTCTCTCTCTGAGTCACCCTCTCTCTCTGTGTCTTTACGAGTCGTCCTTTCTCTGTCTCTCTCTCTCTGAGTCACCCTCTCTCTCTGTATCTCTCTCTGAGTCACCCTCTCTCTCTCTGTGTCTCTACGAGTCGTCGTTTCTCTCTCTCTGAGTCGTCCACTCTCTCTGTGTCTCTATGAGTCAACCTTTCTCTGTCTCTCTCTACTAGTCGTCCTTTCTCTGTCTCTCTCTCTGAGTCACCCTCTCTCTCTGTGTCTTCATGAGTCGTCCTTTCTCTGTTTCTCTCTCTCTGAGTCACCCTCTCTCTCTGTCTCTCTCTCTGAGTCACCCTCTCTCTCTCTGTGTCTCTATGAGTCGTCCTTTCTCTGTCTCTCTCTCTGAGTCACCCTCTCTCTCTGTGTCTCTATGAGTCGTCCTTTCTCTGTCTCTCTCTTTGAGTCACCCTTTCTCTGTCTCTCTCTCTGAGTCGTCCTTTCTCTGTCTCTCTCTCTGAGTCACCCTCTCTCTCTGTGTCTTCATGAGTCGTCCTTTATCTGTCTCTCTCTCTCTGAGTCACCCTCTCTCTCTGTCTCTCTCTCTGAGTCACCCTCTCTCTCTGTCTCTCTCTCTGAGTCACCCTCTCTCTCTCTGTGTCTCTATGAGTCGTCCTTTCTCTGTCTTTCTCTCTGAGTCACCCTCTCTCTCTGTGTCTCTATGAGTCGTCCTTTCTCTGTCTCTCTGAGTCACCCTCTCTCTCTGAGTCTCTACGAGTCGTCCTTTCTCTGTCTCTCTCTCTGAGTCACCCTCTCTCTCTGTGTCTCTACGAGTCGTCCTTTCTCTGTCTCTCTCTCTGAGTCACCCTCTCTCTCTCTCTTTGTCTCTATGAGTCGTCCTTTCTCTGTCCCTCTCTCTGAGTCACCCTCTCTCTCTCTGTGTCTCTATGAGTCATCCTTTCTCTGTCTCTCTCTATGAGTCGTCCTTTCTCTGTCTCTCTCTCTCTCTATGAGTCGTCCTTTCTCTGTCCCTCTCTCCGAGTCACCCTCTCTCTCTGTGTCTTCATGAGTCGTCCTTTCTCTGTCTCTCTGAGTCACCCTCTCTCTCTGTGTCTCTACGAGTCGTCCTTTCTGTCTCTCTCTCTGAGTCACCCTCTCTCTCTGTGTCTCTCTCTCTGAGTCGTACTTTCTCTGTCTGTCTCTCTATGAGTCACCCTCTCTGTGTCGTCCTTTCTCTGTCTCTCTCTCTCTGAGTCACCCTTTCTCTTTGTGTCTCTATGAGTCGTCCTTTCTCTGTATCTCTCTCTGAGTCACCCTCTCTCTCTCTGTGTCTTCATGAGTCGTCCTTTCTCTGTCTCTCTCTCTGCGTCACCCTCTCTCTGTGTCTCTACGAGTCGTCCTTTCTCTGTCTCTCTCTCTCTGAGTCACCCTCTCTCTGTGTCTCTCTCTCTGAGTCGTTCTTTCTCTGTCTCTCTCTCTCTGAGTCGCCCTCTCTTTCTCTGTCTCTTTCTCTACGAGTCGTCCTTTCTCTGTCTCTGTCTCTCTCTGAGTGGCTCTCTCTCTCTGAGTGGCTCTTTCTCTGTCTCTCTCTCTGAGTCACCCTCTCTCTCTCTCTACGA